ATCCATCCATCCATCCATCCATCCATCCATCCATCCATCCATCCATCCATCCATCCATCCATCCATCCATCCATCCATCCTATTTAACCAGGTTAATCGGTTGAGAACAGGTTCTCATTTGCAACCGTGACCTGGCCAAGATAAGGCGTAGGTACAAGGCGACATAAAATTACACATGACATACCAACATACAATTACACAGTCATTAATATAGAAAACATTCAGATTCAGTTAAAAGGTACTGAACAGTATATAAAAATTGAAAAACTTGATAGTTTAAAAATGTACAATGGCAGTGCAAAAGAAATAGCAGTCGGATAATAGTACAGTCCAACATGGGTAAATTGATAATGTGCAAATAAATGCAGTGACAGCCATTTAGTTGAATATGTGCAAAAATACATAAGTCTTTGTTCGCAAAGAGCATCAACATCAACATGTACAGTGGTCCGTCAATAAATTTGACAGTAAAACTTTAAAAGTAGCGATCGAAACAGTGGATTCTAATTTGAGAGACTTTTGTAAAGTGTTCCAATCATTTGCAGCCGAAATTTTTAAAGAAGAGCGGCCAAAGGAGGTGCGGGCTTTACTAGAGTCTAAAAAGATATATTTACTTGAACGCAGGTTAAATACAGGCACTGATATGGTTATTAAAGTACTTAGGTAAGATGGTGTTTTGCCTAGTATGGACTTGTAAATTAATTGAGACCAGTGATTTAGGCGCCGATTGTGTAGCGAGGGCCATCCAACTAGTGAGTAAAGAGTCCAGTGGTGGGTATTATATGGGGCTTTAGTAAATTAAATAGTTGTGAGAAACTTTTGTGCATCATTTGCTTGCAGATGCCATTTGGTTTGATATTTAGCTTCTTATGCAATACATTTATATATTGCGTGTAGCTTAATGTGACTTTTTTTGTGGAAATGGTTTAATCCTTTTAATATGCTGCACAAATCAGATTTATTGTGGAATGTTCCTGATAATCTGAGGAGCAGAGAGCTGAATTTATTGCGTAACCGTAACCCTGCTGCTGGACGGAACGGCTTTAGAAAACACTCCTCTCAAAGTCTGAAAGTGGAAGTATTTGAAATGGGGGAAATATGACATTCCTTTAATGCATGAAAACAATGCCTGCCCTGAACACAAACGTAAATCTTTTGCAGTGGTTGGGGGGAAAAAACTAATTTGTCCACACAATAGGTTAAGAAATAAATCTTTTTTTTTTGTTTACAAAATATTACAAAAGCGACATTTGTGATAGATGATTAAACCACATTTGGTTGACCCATGGTGTTGGGTTGACCCATAGACCAATTTTCAGCCGACGTCACAGTTACATCACGGCGCTAGCTGGTGGCAGAACAAAGGGAAAACTATGGCAAGCCATTTTAACATTTAACAGCTAGGCGGGATATGTGTTGCAGATATCTGTAATTCAGTTTTGCCTAGTCAAAAAGAACATTTCAGATATCCGCAACTACATTCTTCCTATCCATAATTGTCATTTCAGATATCCACAAAGACATTCTTCCTAGGACAAATGACATCACGTTTGCCATTCATTTGTATGGGGTTTATCATTACAGATATCTACAATTCAGTTGGAGATATCCACTATGTGAATTACAGATATCTGCAACTGAATTGTAGATATCTGTAATTCCAGTTTGAGATATCTACAATTTGATTCTGACTAGTCATAACTCCAGTTCAAGATATCTTTAATTAAAGGTGCTCTAAGCGATGTCATGTGTTTTTTAGGCCAAAACATTTTTTGTCACATACAGCAAACATCTCCTCACTATCCGCTGGCTGCCTGTCCCCTGAACACACTGTAAAGAAACGCGATCTCTGTAGACAGCCCATGCTTCACAAACAGCACCAAAAACAAACTGCAGCGACCCGCTCCCCAAAACATAACAAACTGTTCCAGCCAATGACCGACAAGAAGGGTTTGGGGGTGTGGTTTGGGGGGTTAGTGTGCGGATGAGGAGGAGGGAGGGTCTAGCTAGCCTCCGTTTTGTTTGACAATAGTTCGAACGTCAACAAGAAGTGACGTCACCCAGGATCGCTTAGAGAACCTTTAACCTCAATTCAAGATATCTACATGTTCCTTTTCAGATATCTTAAATTAAGTTTTGACTAGGCGAAATGACGTTGTAGATATCTGTAACTGGAATTATGACTAGTCAAAATGGCGTTGTAGATATCTCAAACTGGAGTTAGGGATAGTCATAATTTAATTGTAGATATCTATTATCAAGTTATAGATATCTTGAAATTAATTTTGATTAGAGATATCTGAAATTTGAGATATCTGTAACTTTCATTCTGCCTAGTCAAAATGTAATTACAGATATCTTGAATTAGAGTTTTGACTAGGCGAAATGACGTTGCAGATATCTGTATGCAAATTAGGCCCGCATCCCACTTTAGGCGGGAGCAGAGCATGTTTTTAATGCTGTTAGCTACTGTTTTAACCTGAAATCAATACCTACAGGCTATCATGGGTTTTTACTGTTAAAAAATAAAATAAAAAATAAGAACTAATCTGAACTAAGAACTTTTTTTTCTCATCTAAGGAAGTTAATGTTATTGCACTGCCATGGCAATAATAGCATGCATGTAAGCATCTTTATTAAAGTGAATTAGGGTGAATCTCTCTCATGCGTAAATCCTACATCAACAATAGCCTACGGTAATTTTAAGCATGATCATAAAAATGCATGGCAAACATTGCATGTTGCCAATATTTTTGAGAAACCAGCAGGCTAATGCTAATGAATACAATTTGTGTCATGCTGGAAACATTTTCTGGTATTTTTCGATTACAGCCAATGCCATGACTGCTGCTTTCTTCTTCCATTCATAGAAATAAGGAAATTAACCCACTTCTTCTTTGATTATGGCGGGGAGGGGAAATTACGTATTCATGGATATCTAAAATAGAGCAACCTCATGCAAAATAATTTGCTCTTGTCATAATGATGTTTGAGATATCTTTAACTTTCATTCTGCCTAGTCAAAACTGAATTACAGATATCTGCAATTGTCATTTAAGATGTGTGACGAGTTGAATGTCGTTTTCAATGACGTCATTGCAGATATCTGTAACTCAGTTTTTCCTAGTCAAAACTGAATTACAGATATCTCTATCTGTCTTTTCGACTAGTCACAATTACGTTACAGATATCTTAAATGATAATACAAACTATCCAAAATGTAATTACGACTAGTCAGAAAGACGTTGTTGATATCTACAATGTTAATTCCGGATAGTCAAACTTAGCTTTTAAATGTTAAAAGGGCTTGCCATAGAAAACTGGAGGCGGCAAATACAAACCAGCACAGATTCGGCTACAAAATAAGGATCTTAAATTCTTCTTCTTATTATTAAATGTCATCTTGTTGTGTTGTTGGGTGCAAGAATCAATGAAAAATTAATATGCTTTATCTGCAATTTTTTATTTCTAGAAATATTCACCTCATTAAAATTGCACCGTAATGTCCCTCTTTACATTGTCGTCTTCTCGGCGCTGGCTAGGCAGAACTGCAGATCGTACCACACAAGTCTTGTACATGACCATTCAGCACATAGTTATAGGCATCTAAAGATTTACATGCCCTCCGTTTCTCTATCAGGTAAGTTAGGTGTAGAAGTCAGGCCACTCAACCGGAGGTAACGTTAACGTTAATCCTGTCAGATCCTCAATGAGTGTACGGGTCGGCCAATCTGGTTCCGTCCGATTAAAATTAACTTTTGCAAATAACAATCGTGGTCCTGGACAGTGAGTGACCTTGCACATTAAGATAAAATCGGATTTTCTCCAGTCATTGTTAAAAACAAGCTAACAAAACTTGCAGACTTTACGTTAGTGAAGCGGCCAGAGGGATCGTTCTGCCACCACTTAAGCTCCGCCCACATAAAAACGTCACCATGTTTACCAACTGAAAATTGGTCTATTGTTCAGGCTTTAATCAGGTGGTTTGCAAATAAAATTCCACGTTGATGATAATAGGAAATGTTTCTTGAGCATCAAATCGTATTAGAATGATTTCTGAAGGATCATGTGACACTGAAGACTAGATTAATTCAGCCTTGCCAGTCAAAGGATTAAATAACATTTTAAAGTATAATAGAAAACGGGTCTTTTAAACGGTCGTACTATTTCACAATATAACTGTTTTTACTGTACTTTGATGAAATGCATGCAGGCTTGATGAGCATAAGAGACCTCTTTCAAAAAATCTTGATTATTCCATATTTTGACCGGTATTTTTGTGTATGTTTCTGTACACACTGTTACTGTTCAAAAGTTTTGGTTTGGTAAGCTTTCAATTTTTTTTAAATAGATCCTCTTTGGAAAAATATATATAAATAAATTATGTAATTTTTTTTTGTTTTATTATTATTATTGTTACCTAATGCCTTTGGTTAGCATTCTTATATCAGGTTAGTGATAAACCTCTTAGGCTCTTCGAATTTACTCTAAAACCGCAACAAGCTCTTTCTTTTTAATTGATTAGTCTAGCTAGCGAGTGCCAGCATTACTCTCCACTGAAGTTCAGCCAGACTACTTTGTTAGCATTAGCGTGCGCCTGCTAATAAAAGTTTTAGCGTCGCTCTTTTCGGCCAAGTGAGTGTCCCCATTGCTCTGCGGTGATCCAAAGCACTGGGCTTGGAGAGCCACAGCGTGTTGCCTCAGAAACCTCCAGGCGATGGGTCAGCAGGGCCTGTGGAATGCCCGGCTTAGGTTTCCGGCTATTGTGCTCGACCAGCACACTGGAGGTGAATAGCCCGACATTCCTCTGATGCCCCCCTCCCCCCACCCCACACACACACACACACACACACACACACACACATGCTCGCGCCACGCTCAAACTCTCAGTGAGTGACATCCCATGGAAAATAATCATGAAGGGTGGAGGTCCAACATCCCGCTGTCTTCTCTCTGATTGGCTGTTGACTGACAGATGGATTCCCTGTTTGATTTTGCAGGCAGACTAAGCCTCTGACTTTTGCTGACTGTATTGGAGATGAGCTGCCTGTGGGATGGGAGGAGGCCCACGACCCCCACGTTGGAGCCTATTATGTCGACCACAATACCAGTAAGTTGAACAAGTTGCAGCCCACCTTATGCATACATAGGAGTAGAGAGTGTCTGTTCTGTGATTTTGTGGGTTTTAGACAGATGAAATGGCATATTTATAATTGGACGTAAATGAAAACATGCCTTTGAGGGTTGAAACTCTTGATTCAGTGGGCCTCATTTATGAAACACATTTCTGTGCTGATAATTTGTCACCAATGCGCAGGATTTTGTGCTATTCTGTAACAATTTCAAATGAAGCATTTGGACACACCTACTCGTTATTTTATTTCATTTCAATTTTTTTCAACGTTTTAGAAATACTTGTAATAAATAAGTGTTGTTTTAGTAATATTTAAATTAATTTGATAAATATTTTTATTTTATATTTTCAGTTTTCATTTGAAGATATTTCTTTTTAGCATTAATTTAGTATTTCAGTTTTAGTACCTCAATTAAAGCTTTTTAAAAAAAAGAAAGGTTTTTCATCCAATATTTATTTTTTATTTTAGCTTTACTTTAATTAACAAAAAATGTTTTGTAATAGTTTTAATTTTCGTTAACAATAACAGCACTGATGAACAGTTTTTGCTTTTGTGGAAACCAGGATACATTTTTATTTTTCATTATTCTTTGATGAATAGAAAGTTCAACAGAACTTTGAAATAGAAATCGTTTGTTAGTTAACAGTATAATTGTCTTTACTGTCACTTTTGATCAATTTAATGCGTCTCTGCTGAATAAAAGTATTACCCAGTATTAACAAAGATAGCAAAAAAACTGTTTTCAAAATAAGAAATGTTTCATAAGCAGCAAATCTGCATATTAGAATGATTTCTGAAGGATCATGTGACACTGAAGACTGGAGTAATGATGCTGAAAATTCAGCTTTGATCACAGGAATAAATTACATTTTAAAGTATATTAAAATAGAACAAAGTTCTTTTGAATTGTAATAATACTTCACAATATGCATGTTTTTACGGCATTTTTGATCAAATAAATGCAGCCTTGGTGAGAAGAAGAGACTTCTTTCCAGAACAACAACAACAAACAAACTGTAGTGTATTTTTTTCATAAACTTTCAAGATATTTCTATCTTCTCTCTGCTTCCCTCAGAGAGCACCCAGTTGGAGGATCCACGGGCTCAGTGGCAGCGGGAGCAGGAGCTCATGTTGCGGGATTATCTGAGCGTGGTTCAGGATGCGTTGAGCGCCCAAAAGGAGATCTACCAGGTCAAAGAACAGCGACTTCACCTGGCCCAGCAGGAATATCGGCAGCTAAATGATGCTTGGAGGGACAAGGCGGCCTCACAGACCAGCCGTAAGACTTGTGCCTCTATACACACTTTAACAGTCTGTCAAAGACTCTTCTTATGAGCCACTTGACAGTGATTCTTGACACAAGTTTTTGATTAATCTGTACAAGTGCAACATGATAATTATTATTTTCCTTTCACAAGCTCATGAAAGTCGTCACTCACTATAGGTCAACTATGCCAGATATAAACATAAAATGTAAATATTGACATCTTCAGGACAGTTTCATACTTACTTTCAGGTCTATCTGTTTTATTTTAATCAAGACTTATTTGAATGTTTCTTGGGGGAACGCAGAATTTTAGGGAGCAAACACAAATTTTTTTTCATCAGCATGTCCCTTCAGGTTCTTCGTACATAGTAGTGTTTTTTTGTTTTTTTAAGTTGGGCTGTCAATAGAGGTTATTTAAAAGGATTCTCACAAAACTGGATTTTCTTCAAGCTTTTTTCAAGGTAAATGTAGGTGTCTAGGACACTTGGAGACTCCAAGTAACTAAATAATTAATACATTTATGCACACCAAAGCACAAACAACATTACAGGGAAAAAAAACAAGTTTTCAGAACTCACAGTGTATGGTATGTACCACGGTATGTGTAGAGCTTGTTTATATTGTCAAGTTGCGAAACCAAGCAGGAATACATTGAGATGCCCCCCCCCCCCCCCCCCCCCCAAAAAAAAAACCCTTAAACCAACCGCCTTAACCTGACTGCATATACCTACTACAGTAAACACATTTATTCAGAATTACACACATGCACACATGACAAATCAAAACACTATCCTGAATGTGTGTGGAAACAGCGTGAATGTGCTGAAATGTGTGTGTGAATAAATACGTGTGATCATTGCATCACGATCGCACATGCACGATTTGTTTGCGCATCAAAATGACGGACTCGTGCGTGCTTACTCTACAACTCCTGTACGTCACCGTAATTGCCTTTTCCTTGAAAATCAAAACTTTACTAGCGAGACACTGGTTTGCTTAATCTCGTGCTCTACAGAATCAATCACGGAATATGACAGAGCTCGTGTTTTAAAGCGAAACACACTGAAAACTGGTCACGAGTCACTGTTCTCTCTGCCATCTCTGATGTAATCAGCCTGGATTTCTTTAAATTAGTGCTTTTTTGGACTCAATGCTTGAATGAATTTGTGTTCAATGCTTGAATGAGTTCAGTAGATCTGATCGGAAACAGTGAAGCGAAATCGGGTAAAAGTTTAGAATCTAAATTTCTGCATATCAGGGTTACAAGATCATCTCACTGCGTGACATAAATTACGTAATGCTTCACTAATTTATTTCCGTTACATTGTTTAATTTCTTGAAGGATTTTGAATTAATCGCATGTGTGTTAATGTTGACAGCCCTATGGAAAATACCATTTTCTTTATCTTAACATGTATATTTATTAGGGATGCACCGATATGAAAATTTTGCCCGATGCCGATAATTCTTTATATTTGAAAGCCGATAACCGATATATTGGCCGATAAATCTAAATCCAAATTTTGATATATTTTTTGAGAGCCTGATAGATGCTGCACTTGACTGTATTTTCCTTTTTTGAAGTGATTCTAATCATATTTCAAGCAATTCAAAACCAGCGTATCTGAAGTGTCTCAGCTGAAGGAAATAATCCATTATTTATCTGGCAAATTTTCATATCGGGCCGATAACATTACAAATGAACATATATCGTGCATCCCTAATATTCATTAATCTAAATGAAGTACTAAGTTATAGTCTGAGGACAGGTGGTTTTAGGCAATGTTATTGCCATAATTTTAATAGAGTAAAGAGAACATCATTTTAGTTGAGGGACTTGTTTTGTCCCACGTGTCAAGAATCAGTAAACTGTCATAATTAAAACATCATCTGTTGAGATAAGACAGCGAGAGCTGCATGCTTAGTTGATGAGGTTACAATCTTGAATTAACTTTAAAATACTTGTGCAGCCCAACCCGCAATGCCTTCACTCTTCAAACATCTTTTGCAAGCAAATTTTTATTTTTTTTAATATACAAAATGGATGCAGATTTATGACAGTCTGTAGCAATATTATAAATCACTATGGAATTCCAGAGCCGTGTCGAGTGGTTTTCCAGATAAGATAAAGCCTTTGAACTCTTATCTTTCCTACAGTAAATTCCAGATCCTCATCAAGCAGTAAATATGACCCTGAAATCCTCAAAGCGGAGATTGTTACAGCAAAAAGCCGGGTAAGAAGCTCTTCCACTTAACATGGAGCCTTTGATTTCTTTTGCTGTGAATGTTATCTTGTTTATGAAAGACATGAATTGGGTGTAATATTTGTAGCACTCCGTACATCATGGATTTCAGATGTGACGACAGGCAGTGAGATTATATTTAAAGCCAAATGTAAGACGTCTTGTAATTACACAAGTGTCTCGTTCATTCTCCTGCTCACTTTCTCTCTGTTGCTGTCTTTTGTTCAGGTAAATAAGCTGAAGAGAGATTTGGCCTTTATGAGGCAAGAACTGCTTTATAAGGAGCAAGGCTTTGAGACGTTGAAAGAGTAAGTGTAACCTGACCTCACTGCACGATCACGTTCCAACAACTGATCGCTTTCTTGTTTAAAAGCAGTCCAGTCTGAAAACACCTCGTCTTTGTTCAAGACAAAAATGTATCATCTTATCTCTTGCCATTTTATGAGTGCACTTTATTGTGATGAAGTGAGCTCACTTTTTGTCTTCTCTTGTTGTTGTAAAAGTCGATATGATATTTTTATTGTTCTTCAAAACATCATGCACCTCATATTTCATATAGTTATTTTCAAAATCCACCCGATTTTTTCTGAACAACTACTTGACTAGTCCAGTGATTCCTAACTGATGGATTGAAAGAGCTGGGTATTAATACAGGTTTTCCTGTTTTAATTCAATACAATTTTGATTCATTTGAATATATTTAAGTTAGAATGTCTATTTGATTAAATATAAAAGAAATAGGCCTATCAGCTAATGCTGTAAAATATATAGTGCAGTGTCGTGGAGCAGTGGTTCTCAGCCTGGGGGGCTTAGCAAACTTCCAAGGTGGCAACAGGATGACTTAAATGTAATAAAATATATAATATATAAAAAAAATAATTCAACTCTAAATTAAACTGCTAGAAAAAAAAAAAAAAAAAAAATCATGAACCTTTTTGTTAAAATTCCATTTCCGTCATTCATTTTGGGAATCGGACCACATGGCGTATGTTTTGATTCACAGCACACAGGAGTCATTTGTTCGTGACTCACATTAGACTGATTTCGTTGTGTGCTTTTGATTCACTAAAACGAACCGGTTCATGCGAATTTGTGAGTTTGTGAAACGGATTACACTGTTTGCATTGTATGTTTATTTTTGCGTGCAATCCTCGAGGACATCTCAATTGAAAGACATACCTTGCCTTGAAGTAAAACACTATATAGTGTATATCTACTGATACACTGTCTTGAGGTTTTAAGAATTGATATTGGGGTCATTTGAATGAAGATCACTATTAAGCACGTAGGCACCTATTGTAATAGTTAGTGTTATTATTATCATCATTATTCCTCTCTGGAAGTCTATGGCAGCCCATAGAACTGTGTGGTAAAAAGTTGTGAAATTTGGCACACAGATAGAGGACAATCTGAATTTTGGAGTTTCTATATCAATCCCTCTGGTGCCACCAACTGTCCAAAGTTGCACTCATGTTTATGCAAATAACCATTGAACCATATGATTCGATTGCACCATATGAAGTCATTTAGCCATTTAGAATAAAAAAAAGAAAAAAAAAAAGACTTTTTTCAAACTCTTCCGTTGCTCTGATTTTCATGAAAATGTAAACATCATCTTCAGACCATACCGACAAAAAGTTACGGAATTCAAGTTCATTCGTCAAACCATTCTCGAATTAATGCTTGAACGAATTCCACAAAAAGCATGCCAAAATGGATGTGAGGCTATATCTCCAAACTTGGTGTGTGTTATGACAACCATGACCTGAGGGTATCTGCACAGTTTTGGCGCAGTGCCACTTAGTGGTCAAGAGATATAAAAAAATGGCTATATTTGCTTATAGCTTCTGAGTGGTTTAGCCTAAAAGAAAACTCAAGAGTGGTCTCTTTAGATTCAGTGCGACATAACGAGTCGAAGGACAACCAATTGTCTCTTATCGGCCATTTTGCGCATCTGTAAAATGCTAAATCTTACGGACGCATTGACATATCGTATGTGCCATCGGCACCATGCCCTGAAGGTACTCTAAGAATAATATATATATTATATTATAAATTAAGACAAAAATTCGAACAGCTTTTGATTAATTTTTGCCTATTGTAATGAAACTTGATAGATTCTTTGGGTCATGGGGACAACATAGATACACATTTTTCCATAGTCAGTCGAACTTCCTCTTCGCCATTTTATTTTTTCTTTGAAAACCTACTTTTTCAAACTGCTCCTTGACCATTGCTTTGATCTTCACCAAATTCGAGTCAGATCATCTTTAGACCATGGCAGCAAAAAGTTATAGATTTCGTGTTGATTGACGAAACACCGCATCAATGAATTTGATGGCATAATGCCAAGCTGCATCTCAGGCTGTACCTCTGCAAAGCTTTGATATAATGACCCCAAACATTATGTCTGTCATTGTCTAACACACTGACCACACCACATCAATTTGGTAAAAACATTATTAACCATTAAATCAAATTACTAGTGATTGTATTTTTGATTTTTCAGCCATATTGACTTGACTCATCTTAAAATGTCTTTAATTGCTCATTTTTGCAGTTGGTGATGCTCCCAGCCATGCTGGCATGACATATTATCGTGCCTTCTTTGTGCTTGGCCCCTTAATTGCTGCTTGCAGCTATATTTGGAAAATTATTTAGTTCTAACAGGTCTGCTGACAGCATGGAAAATCAATACTAAAATAGAAATGTCCAAATAACCATATCTTTGGTTGTTGATGTCAAAGGCTGCCCATGAAACTGTTGCGGCTCAAATCTAGTATCGTTTTACCATGTTGACAGTCCAGTCCAGCACTTAAGGCCCCGATATACTCACAGCGAGGTTCTTTTTCGTTCTTCGTTTAGGGATAAAACGAAGTTCGAAATGCGTGACAAGGGGGCGAGGCCTCGTTTATAGTTGCAACCAATCAGAGCACATTGCACTTTTCAGAAGGAGGGGCTTCAGTGAGACTGGAACTAAACTGAGTGTTACAGACAGACTGGGAAGAGAGGTGGTAAAATAATGTGTTTTTTGAACATTCAAGCATGAAAACCTATTGTAGTGTGACTTTTAAGATTCCTCTTTAAGATATTTTCCCCTCAGGGCTGTTTTAGGAAGACATTGGCATAAAGCTTTGGATTGGGCTGTTTTTGTATGTAAAAGGGCGTTGAGATGCTGGGCTTGATTCCTGTTGACTGCTTCCCTCGCTCTCTTGCCCAAAGGAATGCGGACTAACTGGTTACTCAGGTCCGCACATGACTTACTGATGACTTGCTTTACATGCCCTCTTCTGCTAAACAGAACCATCCACCCACCCCCTCACCTCCGTATTCTTGGCTCTACTGGAGCTTGACATTCCAGGAAATCGCAAGCAAAACATTCAACAGAGGCGTATATGAGTATTTTGCCGTTAGTGCGGTCTACGAGAACTCATGCCATGCAGATTTATAACATACATTTGGGAACACAACATATGCCAACCATCTTCCAAAACTTGTAATGAGAAAAATACGAATAACCTGTGGTTTTCCACCAAAATATAGGCTTGATGGTTTAACATTTGAAAATAGAGAAATTAAGACAGCCATACATATTATAATTATTCTTAATAATGATATTTTCTTAAGTACTCGATTCTTGTAATTTTACAGTGGAATATAACAATATTAATATTTATTATTTTGTGTAATGTTTGTATTTAGTAGTAATAATAATAATAATAATTACAGTTCTATTATTATTATTTTATAGTCACTTTGATATATAATCACAACATTTTTGGCAAAAATGTGCAACCTTTCAAACAAGCACAGCAAATAGCATTTTAAATCGCAATAAAAAAAATGTATCAGAAAAATTGCAATTAGACTTTTCTACAAATTTAGCTGGCCTTTACCGATTCCAAAAAATGTTTCATTGATACATTTGATTGTTTCCCAGTTCTTCAGAGATTCCGAGTGTGATGATTCAACTAAGTCATTAAAAATAATTTGGATGATTTAAAATGATTTCTAATTGAATGCTTTTTCTTTGTCTTTCACCAGAATTGATCACAAAGTGTCCAGTGCCTCGCATGGCTACAAACTGCATGAAGCCCAGGCCATCCTGAAGGAGGTGAAGACCATTAAAGATGCCATCAGCTCTGGGGAGAAGGAGAAACAGGAGCTCATGCGGGTACAAATCTCCTTGAACCTTTATTGAGTTCTCAGTACATTCCCTGAGCAATGACACCCTGAAAGAAGCATTTTAAACGTCGCCCAGGTCACGAAAGGACAAATCGTTACACCTTGAGAGCGTTCTGGGAACACATTCCTACATACTTTCATCATTAGGACATTGCAGAGAATGTCCTAATGAGAACTGAGACATTTTTTTGTCCCAGTTCCAGGTGTACATAGCCATTATGAATTATCGTTGGCTTGACTATTTGTATAAGTACACACTAGAGAAGTAGGCAAACCAATCTATTCAAATAAAACTGCAGTGAAATGCTCTACTTGCTGCAAAATGATCTTATTGTCATTTTAAGCTAATGTGTTTGAGCAGATAGGAGTGGCTAAGTGTGGTGGGGCTTTTCACTGAAGACGACAATCACAAACTAATTATTTTACAGCCATTATTTGTCTCGTACTACCACAAAAAAAATGTATGTAAATATTTGACAAAATACAGTTGTGTATTGGCACATAGAAGCAGGACACTCAAACTTTGTGAACCGTGCCCCTTTTTCCACGCTTTTCACAAAATAATTACTTTCAATGGCAAAAGGGATCAAAAGTGATCTTAAATACTTCTTTTTTTTCTTTTTTTTTTAATAAATGCTGTTCTTTTGAACTATCCATTCATCAAATATTCCTGGATAAAAAAAGTATCACGGATCATGTGACTTTGGAGTAATGGCTGCTGAGAATTTAGCTTTACCATCACAGGAATTAATGACATTTTAATATCATACCGACCCCAAACTTTTTAATGTCGTATACATATGTACTACCTTACTATCTTTAAAATATAACTGGTCACTGCATTTTTGTTTTTGTTTTCACATGGCAATCACAACAGTCCACTTCATAAAAAAATACATTAAAAAAAATCCCAATTTAAAATGAAGTTTTACAAAAATGTATGTCAGATCATCTAAGCAAAACATGTACATAATATGTCAAGAATTTAGATGTATGTGAATGTGTAATTCATAATTTATTGACCACTTTTAAAGGCTTTTTTGCCTTCACTAGTTCATTTTATTGGTCCTGTGATTTGTAATTTTCTTTTAAAAAGTACAAATTTTCCATGTAGTCTACGAGTTCCTAAAAACTATACATAATAATTAGCTAAATGTTATTTAAATAGAGTATAGAAGGTCAGCTTGTCTATACAACTAAAAAAAAAAACACATTAAAAGAGGACAGAATGCAACTCAACCCAAAATACACATAACGTTATGGGGTTCAGAGAAAAAATGAGCGAGTGGATTATTTGGTTATAATGTTAATTCATGTAATGCGATATGGGTGAATGTTAGGGTCTGTTTGTTTTCACGCTGAGTGTTTGCACTAGCATTGCGGAGTGTGAAGTTTCCTTGTTTGCATAATGTTTTGTCTGTGAACCTACTGCTTTTGACATGTAGGCCTAAAGAAAATATTTGGTTATGTATTTGGTTTGCACCCACTTACCGTAATGTACAAATCTTGTTTAGTTTGCCCCGTGTTGTTTATACTTTTGGACTTGTTAATTGTAGCAACACAAATTTAAAGAAGCCAGTGAAGACAATGTGTTTTGCTTCCCATTGGCAGTGCGTTTGAGGCCCCATCAAAATTAAAATCCCCCTTTTTAAAAACTTATTATAGACTTCCTATTTTGTACATCACCCTTTGGTCCATAGACCCTAATTCTATCTTTTTTTACAGCATAGTAAATGCTTTTTAATTGTAAAATTCACACTAAAGTTTGGCGCTGGATTTCACCTGAAGTCTCACCAAGGCTCCATAAATATGAAATATAAATACAATTTAAATGAACTGTTTTATATATTGTAAATCATTTTAAAGCCTGTTCAGTAGATAATAAATAGTTTGTTTTAAAATTTTAAGCAAATAGTCTCTTATGGTCACGAAGCCTGCAATTATTTGATCAAGATACAGTAAAACCAGTAATATTGTGAAATCGAATTATAATTTTAAAATAACTGTTTTCTATATTAATATTATTCCTGGGATTTCAAAGCTGAATTTTAAGAAATTCTCAGAATTTTCAGCATCATTACTCCAGTCTTCAGTGTCACATGATTCTTCAGAAATCATTCTAACATGCTGATTTTCTGCTCAAGAAACATTTCTTATTATGATAAATATTGAAAACAGTTGTTCTTCTTTATATTTCTGTGGAAAGCGTGATACAGTTTTTTTTCTCTTCAGGATTCTTTGATGATTAGAAAGTTCAAAAGAACAGCATTTATTTGAAATAGAGTTATTGGGAACAATGAAGATATTCAGTTCTTATTTAAAATTATACTAATTTACCGCAAACTTTTGAACGGTAGAGTGCGTTTGGCAGATGGAGTCTTCCCACAGTAGAATATGAAGTGTTTAAACAGCTTTTCTGCTCTCGGTGAGCCCAAGGTTACCCCTTTTACCTTGAGTATTATTCCCTCGTGTTTTGTCATTTTTTATTTATATATTTCCAGCTATTCCTCACACTGTTCGACAAGCATATGGAGAGGCGGGCAATAGTAAATAATGCATACCCCCCACTGCAGCTGGCAGACCTCTTTCGTCATGCGTGTGTTCGCCCGTAACATGCTCACTCATAGCTTTGTGTTTCTTTCTTGCAAATAAACTCTCCTTCCTGTAGACTCGCTGCCCCTGTCGGCAGTTGTCATCTCAGAAATGTTCTGTTTGCAATGAATATCTGTGAGAGAACGGTAAATAGAGGTCAAGGATTTTCTGACCTCACTATGTTGCTCAAAGGGACAAAATCACACGCTGACATCTGGTTATTGTGTTTTTCTTTTAGAAACTGGCTGTGCTGAAGGATGATTTCCAGTTAGATTATGGCTCTCAGTCTGACCTGTGGGCCAGCAATCCGTCCCTGGCCAACTCAAACCTCTCTCTGCCCCGTGTCTACTCGGACGCCGGGTCTCAAACAGACATCCCTGCTGAGGTGAGAGACGGCCTTCAGTGCTGGGTTTTACATGCTTGTGAATGATGAATCACTTTGGTGTCTTAGTGGTTTCACAATGTCCAAGTCATTTGTAGAATAATGTCTTTTTTTTTTTTTTATTAGTTTGTATCAAGCTCAAATAAACTGGCTGAGAAGGTACGACTGAGCCTGAAATATGAGGAGGCGAAAAGAAGGTATCTGTTTTTCTTCTAAATTTTCTTCTAAATTATTAGTTTGTAGCAAGTGGTCAATAAAGTTTTTTAATCAGTAATGCCAATATTTAAATTACTATGTATGTATGTGTTTGTGTGTGTGTGTGAGAATATATATATATATATACTGTCGTTCAAAAGTTTTGGATTGATACAATTTTATTAAATGCTTTTAAAAGAAGTCTCTTATGCTCACCAAGGATGTATTTATTTGATTAAAAATACAAAAATGACAAAAAACTAAATATTATTACAATCTGACACTGAAGACTGGAGTAATGATGGTGAAAATTCAGCTTTGCATCACAGGAATAAATTACATTTTAAAATATATTCAAATAGAAAACAGTTATTTTAAATTGTAATAATATTGACTGTTTTTACTGTATTTTGATCAAATAAATGCAACCTTGAAGAAGAGACTTGTTTTAAAAACTTTGAAGAAGACCCCAAACATTTGAACGGCTGTGTATATATGTATATATATATTTACCCAAATGTTTGATGCCACACTGGAAATCTGTGATCCAAAATGTAATTTAAGTCTGGAAATAAACTATACGGTTTAGAAAATTGTAAAACAAAGAAATAATAATGACATAAAAAAAAGAGAAAATGTATGAAAAATTAAATTTCTCAGAAATCTCAATTAACCAAAGGGCATTCCAAATACAGGTGATTTATATATATATATATATATATATATATATATATATATATATATATAAATGTATATACAGTATATATATATTTATTTTTTCATTTGAGAGTGGATGTGTGTGTATTAAAAAAAAAATATATATATATATTATTAGTAGTGGTTTCAGACTTTTGGCCCCACTGTAAGCAAATGAAATGCACACGGAAAGAATTTTTTCACAAAATTTTGTCTACTAATCAGGCTGTAAATGGATTTTGAAATCAACCTGTCACTGTATTGATCTCTCAATAACTTTCTTTACATTGCCTTATTCACTTTGCTGCTCAGGATTGCAAATATTGAGGTCCAGATTGCTAAGCTGGATAGCGAGGCATGGCCGGGCCTGCTGGACCCGGAGAGAGATCGCTTAATCCTCATCAACGAGAAGGAAGAGCTGCTAAAGGAACTGCAGTATGTAAAGCCGCGCAAGCGCGCACCCAGCGAGGCAGAGAAGATCGAATCTGAAAAGAAACGACTCGAGAAGGACCTGCAAGCTGCACGGGACAACCAGAGCAAAGCACTGACCGAGAGGTGAGATGGTTAACTGGGCCAGTAGAGCCCCGTGTATTTGGTTCCAGTGGTGTATTTCTTTGGTTACACAACGGCACCATAGAATGGGAACGTGTTAAGTTCATGCAGGAATGAAGGCCTTCATGCTATCTAGAAAGTCCTGGAAATTGATTCTCTATATTCTATCGAATCCATTTTTTCGGTTATAAAAAAAAAAAAAAAATCCTTATCCATCCATTGCAAATGATTGTAACTGTCATGGAAAATTCCTTGAAAAATCATGGAAATGATTGGTCAGAAAGTGTGGAAATGAGGATCGCCCTTTGCAGAATTGGAAACTAAAATATTTTTGTCCTGATCTTTAGTTCTTTAGGCTACACAATATACGGCAGGAATGCACATCTGACCCAATGTTTTTCCCTTTCCTCGACTGCATGTTAGAGCAGTTCACCTCAAAAATCTATTCTAGCATGAATGATAAAGGCGTCATTATTGTGGATACACACAAACCAACTCTAAAAGCCTCTTTTAGACTTAAAAATGTTGACTGAAGGCTTGATGTACAGAGGCCGCACTCGCAAAGATATTTGGCATTAAGCAAAATGAGGAGCACAGCATTCACTTTGTCCATTTAATTCGCTGCATGTCCCATTCATTATAATGGGCGCAATTTGGTTTTGTAAATCAAGGCCTAAAATGGCAGAAATTGAACGTCATGTATGCAAATGGTTCATAAAAATGGTTCATATTAGTTTACTGCTTGTTGTTTGTAGCAAGTCTTGCACTCTTAGGCCCTGTTTACGCCTGGTATAAAGACGTTTAAGAAGTCAAGAAGGCTGTTATAATTTTACGTCATCTTAGCTGAGCATTCGAATGCACAAATACTTTCATAATAACATAAACCAACTGGAATGAAGAAAGTGATCAGTGTGATTAATGTTCAAAACGACAAGCAAGCGCTGCTTTGTGTATGGTTTGTATTTCAGCAGACCTAGTTTCAGTTTCCCTTTTTGAATGACGAATATTGACACCTGCTGATAGACTCATATTTACTTTGACGCAAGAGTAGAACGCACATGCTAGTTGACAGTCGCCTTTAGCACTTTTGGTGTGTTCAAGCGCAGTTTTTTGGGCCGAGGCGAAAACACAGTCAGCTTTCGTCTGCACTAGTTCTTTGACGTCAGCTTGGTGGTGTGTCCCGGGGCTTAAGACCCCGTTTACACCTGTATTTAGTAACGTCCACTAGTGATCCGATCGACCAAAATGCATCTTAATACCAGGTGTAAACAGGGCCTTAGAAGAACCACCTGTGTTTTCAGATCAGGTTGCTTAGGTGAGAATCAATTTTTTGCTTGATTCACTCACTATCTTTCATTCTCTCTTTCTGTTGGTCTTATTCTCACTCGTTCTCTCGGTTATTTGAACAGGGTCCTTCCTTGTTCTCTACTCTAGATACTGTATCCTCGTTTAGCTTGGCGTCTGCACTCTTCCTGTAACCTGAGCTGCACAAACGCTGGATCTAGGTTGAACACAATAGATGCCTTCTTCATGCGCTGCTGTTGAATAACAGACCGACATCATTTTATCAAAAGAACTACCGAAAGATTATACATTAAGAAAATGAATGGGGTTGATTTAAATTTTTCTTACATTTCTTCTTATTTTCTAATTTATATATATATATATACACACCATAGTACTGAATCACCAAGTTCTCTGTGTTGCTTTGCTCAGGTTGAGGCTGCACTATAGGAGAAACAAACTAGTGAAGGAGCTGGAGGAGACAGTGAGGTTGGCGTCTTCCCTGCACACCCAGCTGAAAAGGTATCGTCCAAACCTCACATTTACATAAAATGGACACTCATAATATGGACAACATAAAATATTTACTTTTTCTCCCTGTTGTCTAATTGGGATTCACCAATGTTAATCAATTCTGGCCAATACTGATAAACTGATAATTATAGTCACATTACTGTTACTGCCAATAACCCATAAATGTCAGTTATTAACATTAAATTGAAAAAGTATTAAAAGTCTATACTATATACTAAAAAAGTTCAAATCAATCATTTGATATGCTACAGGTGAAATTATAATTCTATATATAATGACATAATATTTATAATCTTATAATGTACAATATGAAAAATCTATATTTATTTTAAGATATGTCAAACATTTAACGGTGTTATGAAATGATTAGTTCTTTTAAAGAGTAACTTTAAAGGGTGAGTTCAACCAAAAATGAAATAAATGTACTTACTTTCATGTCTTTCTAAACCCAGAGACTTTTGTTCATCTTTGGAACACATATTGTATTGATATTCTCATCAAATTCTCATTATTATTATTTACAATCGAGTCATTTTTGTCTATCCATCAGAAGTCCATTTTTCAAGCTTCAAAAAGTTCTAAAACACATTATAAAAATAATCCATACGTATCATCAAGTCGCTTTATATGATGAAGCAGGCTTTTAATTTAGGCTATTTTAATCTCTGCACATACATGGATCACATCAAATATGATAAACAAGCTCAAAACGTAGGAATTCAAACCAGTTCAGTTTGACCAATGAGGTTTCTTATCGCACATCAAGCATGCAAGGTTGATGATGATGACAGAATTATTATTTTTGGTTGAAATATCTTTTTTTAGTGAGCATTAAATATTCCACAAAGAAAATCTTAATGTAAAAATACAGTAAATTGACCAATAACGAATATGATACTGATATAGTGTGCATCCCTAGAACATTTAAAACACATTTTAATGGCGGGAAAGTTATAATAAAATAACTTGTAAATGTAACTAATTTATTTGGCAGTTTTGGATATTAGCAGTAAGAGGAAGCTGCATATCATAAGGATGTTTCGTCACTGTATATGATGTAATGACTTTGCAATACTATATATGATGTAATGACTTTGCAATTATATTAGAATATCAGAAGAATCAGACTTTTGAAGTTGTAAAACTATGCAACAAAGCGCTCTTGTTAACTTTAACAATAGCTTTGCCCTTACTTTTTATTATGACTAATGCCTAATTCATAGCTCGGCGTCTAGTTGAGGCACATCAAAGGCATGTTGCATGAAGGAACAGTCCCTTGTGTGTTGCACTTGTGAGCCTGCTACGCCTTAATTAGCATGTTTGCTTTAAAGCAGAAGGCATTTGATGTCAAGATTTGAAATAGAGTAGATTGAGACGATTTTGGGGGGAGGGGGAAGAAGCATGAACCGGAGCTGCTTTCCGATTAACTTTCCTTCTCTCCTTCTGTCTCTTTCCTTTGACGTCAAAACTCCAGTCTGTCCGCCAGCACGCTGTCATGTTCCTCGGGCAGCAGCCGTGGATCGCTGACTTCCAGCCGAGGATCCCTGGCCACCTCCAGCTTGGGCTCCACTTCCTCTCTCAGCTTCACCGACATCTACCTGGAGCAGCCCGAATTGGGCGACCCTGACTTCCAGGACAAACTGGACTATATTTTGCAGGATGGAAGCGCCTCTGGTTACAGGCCTTCCAGTTCAATCACCACCATCCATGAGAATGAGGTCTCCTCATCCTCCGGGCAGGTGGGCGGCGGGTCGGGGGTGGCCCAGAGAACACAAGTGCTGAGGCTTTCGGAGACCCCTCACTCCATGAGCTCCCTGTCCCCGCGTTCCTCGCTGTCTTCCCTCTCTCCTCCTTGCTCGCCCCTTGTTACTGATGCTTCCTTCCTGTCAGGAGAGGCCTTTTCTGGCCCGGCCTCACAGTTGGATTTAGATCTGCAAACCAGGCTGATGGAGCTCCGGCTAGAAGAGGACCAGCAGCAGGGGCAGCTGGCTTACCGTGACAACAAACAAGACAGCATTATGGCCGCAGTAGAGTCTTCGAAAGGTACATTGCTCAAAATGTTTTATTGCTCATCAAAATCATGCGTCATGTGATCTACCAAATCAAAGTCATGTGGTGCGAACAACACTGTGCAGACCCTCATGACTGTGTATCAAGGTGAACAAGTCTTAAAATATCAGATCATTTGACCTTTTTATGAAAAGGCAAGGTTCGTTCAGGTTGTAAAATATGAAAGAAAAATATCCATATTTATAATTTTATCAACCCGTAATCACTGGCTTCCGGTAGAGGCCTTATGTGAGTCTAGTTCCGGTGGAAGAGTGACCTCTGACCCGACGCAGGACGTAGGAGTAGCGTAAGCTTTGACGCCTCTCGCGGTTCAAACTAACAGGGCTGGGCAACAAACTCAAGCTCCTCTGACATTTCTTTTTAAAAATTCTTTTTAATTCTTGACCGGTGTTTTGTTTTGCTCGATCCTCTGCGCTTCCGCGTTCTTCAATATGTCATGCGTCGGGTCAGAGGTCACTCTTCGGACGGAACTAGACTCGCGTACGGCCGTCACCGAAAGCCAGTGATTATAGTTTATAAAGTTATAAATATGGAAATAATGGAAATAAAAATGCATTGCTTCGTTTCAGAAGGCTTTTATTAACCTCCTGGAGCTGTATGGATTACTTTTATGATGGATGGATGCGCTGTTTTGGGCTTCAAATTTGGAGTTATTATTCAGTCCCATTATAAATCTTATAAGAGCCAGGATATTTTTTTAATTTAACTCCAGTGTTTGGCTGAAAGAAGAAAGTCATATACACCTATGGCTTGAGGATGAGTACATTTTTGGGTGACTTTTGGGTGCCTTTAATAGGCACTATTAATAACACTTAGTCCAGAGTGACGCAGTGTCACATTTCTAAAACTTCTCTGTGTTACGGACATTGCCATATTTGATACCGTCATTTCGGGTACCGGAGTTCGAATACGGTTGTTATCAGCTGTTCGTTCATACAAATATGTATTCAAGCAGCTATTTTAAACTGCGGAATGAACAAAACATTTTACGACTCACATCTATAAACAAATAGCGACAACAGCTAATTTATCAAATAATCGTTAGATCTATGGGCTAATCTGGAAAAATCGATTGATTAATTGATTATTAAAGGGTTAGTTCACCCAAAAATGAAAATTCTGTCAGTAATTACTCACCCTCATGTTGTTCCAACACCGCAAGACGTTCGTTCATCTTCGGAACACAAATTAAGATATTTTTGATTAAATCTGAGAGCTGGATCATTCCTCCATATTAAGGGATCGAAACTGACCGCCCCAAAAGTTATGAAAGACATCGTTAAAATAGTCCGAGTGACTACAGTGGCTCAATCTTAAGTTTATCAAGCGACGAGAATACTTTTTGTGCGCAAAAACACAGACAAAAATAACGACTTTATTCAACTAATCATTTCCTTCTCTGTGGGCCGTGATATTTCACGTAGTGATATTGAGCAAAGCTTCTAGGTTGCACGTCACACGTAGGCTCACTATTGGCCGACGCTGGTCGTGTGTGATGCGTGACGTACAACCTAGAAGCTTTGTGCAGTTCCACTACGTGAAATATCACGGCCGTACAGAGAAGGAAATGATTAGAATACAGTTGTTAACCAACACGAATACAAGAAGTTGTCTAAGAAGAACTGCAAGATTTTTCCTTTTCCTTCATCATGGACACACTTCATTTGTCACTGGCAACCCAGAATTCCACCTGAAACTAGAGAAACCCTCTGAACGTCTAGTACGTTAGGGTAGATTTTCAGCTCACTCCCAGCTAGCCCAGCAGGTGAACTCACTCGAGCTCAGGAACCTAAAACCTTTCCAGAGTGACACATTCTCACATTTCTACTCGCCCTTTTTCTGTGCTTGAAGATTCTGTTACGCAAACGAGGGTGTCCGCGCCTGGACCGAAGAAGGCGGGAGTAACGTCGGCAGTGTCTGACGAATCGGTTGCAGGTGACAGTGGGGTGTACGAACCCTCAGAGAAAAGGTAGGCCACTAGAGGTTTATTATAAGTGATGTTTTTTCACAGACCCTGATTTGGATAGTAAAACGGTGCTGTTCATTCCCCCCAGGCCTGGGCTTCCTGTCGAGCAGCTGCTGGGTTATGATGACGTGAGCTCGGCGAGCAGCGCTCAGATCCAACTCGGCCTGAAGTATGAAGCGAAAGAGAAGAGGTTCACAGTGTTCGTAATGCAGCTGTCCAACTATAGCGCGCTCTCCCTGCCAGCCAACCAGAACATGTAAGGATTGCGCTCTCTCAGCCAGCTTCATTTAAAGTTGATGGAGAGACATTAATTTTAATCAGCAGGATGTAATTTTGATGAAGCACCTCTGCAAGGGAAATGTGCAGGGTTTTACAAATGGAATTAACCCGTTCAATAGTTGTAAAATGGTAATATGAAGTGGAGGAATTGATTCACAGATACTTTGCGAGTCTTTCGCAAATGATTGTGGATCAATACACAACAATAATTAAACCTGACAGTGCTTGAAAGTCAGAACAGGCATTTTTATTATGGCTTTTATGCATATTTACACAAAATGTAGCAGCAGGCCACCATAACACCCCTGCATTTTTGCTTGGGAAATTGAGATGCATTGGCATGTACATGCCCAGCTCGGACGTTAAAGACCATGGGCCCTACCATACACCCGGTGCAATGCGGCGCCAGGCACGACGCAAGTGTTTTTTGCTAGTTTCAGCCCTATGCAGTTATCATTTTCACGTTCTGCGCCACGTTGTTTAAATAGCAAATGCATTTGCGACTATTTGTGCGCCCTTGGGCGTGCTGGTCTGAAAACGAGGTGTGTTCAGGCGCATTGTTGGCTCGTTGCTATTTCGAGGCAACTGAAATAGACTGCGCTGCGCCATTGACCAACAAAAACTTGGTCTAAAGTCAATGGCGCAGCAGTATTTATTTATTTTTTGTTATTTAAAGAGCGCGTTAGTAATGTGAGCCTATAGGCAGGTCTACAACGCGTACACTCTGCTAATTACACACACAGGGACGCGCAGCAGCACACAAACATGCCAAATATAAAAAATAAAAGGATTACAATGTAAAAGATTATTATTGTGTACATAAAGATATGGTGGAATCCTGCTTGTCGCTGTGGTAGATTTTTCTTATATCGCACCTGACCTAAGTATACCTGGGTCTAGTTTACAATCGACATCCCAGAACGTCTACAGTCGTCGTTAGTTTATCTGGGTCTCGTCTACAATCGACGTCCCAGAACGTCTACAGTCGTCGTTAGTTTATCTGGGTCTAGTCTACAATCGACGTCCCAGAACGTCTACAGTCGTCGTTAGTTTATCTGGGTCTCGTCTACAATCGACGTCCCCGAACGTCTACAGTCGTCGTTAGTTTATCTGGGTCTCGTCTACAATCGACGTCCCAGAATGTCTACAGTCGTCGTTAGTTTATCTGGGTCTAGTCTACAATCGACGTCCCAGAACGTCTACAGTCGTCGTTAGTTTATCTGGGTCTCGTCTACAATCGACGTCCCAGAACGTCTACAGTCGTCGTTAAGTTTATCTGGGTCTCGTCTACAATCGGCGTCCCAGAACGTCTACAGTCGACGTTAGTTTATCTGGGTCTCGTCTACAATCGACGTCCCAGAACGTCTACAGTCGTCGTTAAGTTTATCTGGGTCTCGTCTACAATCGACGTCCCCGAACGTCTACAGTCGACGTTAGTTTATCTGGGTCTCGTCTACAATCGACGTCCCAGAACGTCTACAGTCGTCGTTAAGTTTATCTGGGTCTCGTCTACAATCGACGTCCCCGAACGTCTACAGTCGACGTTAGTTTATCTGGGTTTCGTCTACAATCGATGTCCCAGAACGTCTACAGTCGACGTTAGTTTATCTGGGTCTCGTCTACAATCGGCGTCCCAGAACGTTTACAGTCGTCGTTAGTTTATCTGGGTCTCGTCTACAATCGACGTCCCAGAACGTCTACAGTCGACGTTAGTTTATCTGGGTCTCGACTACAATCGACGTCCCCGAACGTTTACAGTCGTCGTTAGTTTATCTGGGTCTCGTCTACAATCGACGTCCCAGAACGTCTACAGTCGTCGTTAGTTTATCTGGGTCTCGTCTACAATCGACGTCCCAGAACGTCTACAGTCGTCGTTAGTTTATCTGGGTCTCGTCTACAATCGGCGTCCCAGAACGTCTACAGTCGTCGTTAGTTTATCTGAGTCTCGTCTACAATCGACGTCCCCGAACGTCTACAGTCGACGTTAGTTTATCTGGGTCTCGTCTACAATCGGCGTCCCAGAACGTCTACAGTCGACGTTAGTTTATCTGGGTCTCGTCTACTATCGGCGTCCCAGAACGTCTACAGTCGACGTTAGTTTATCTGGGTCTAGTCTACAATCGACGTCCCAGAACGTCTACAGTCGACGTTAGTTTATCTGGGTCTCGTCTACAATCGATGTCCCCGAACGTCTACAGTCGTCGTTAGTTTATCTGGGTCTCGTCTACAATCGACGTCCCCGAACGTCTACAGTCGTCGTTAGTTTATCTGGGTCTCGTCTACAATCGACGTCCCAGAACGTCTACAGTCGTCGTTAGTTTATCTGGGTCTCTTCTACAATCGACGTCCCAGAACGTTTACAGTCGTCGTTAGTTTATCTGGGTCTCGTCTACAATCGACGTCCCAGAACGTCTACATTCGCCGTTAGTTTATCTGGGTCTCGTCTACTATCGGCGTCCCAGAACGTCTACAGTCGACGTTAGTTTATCTGGGTCTCGTCTACAATCGACGTCCCTGAACGTCTACAGTCGACGTTAGTTTATCTGGGTCTCGTCTACAATCGACGTCCCAGAACGTCTACAGTCGACGTTAGTTTATCTGGGTCTCGTCTACTATCGGCGTCCCTGAACGTCTACAGTCGACGTTAGTTTATCTGGGTCTCGTCTACAATCGACGTCCCAGAACGTCTACAGTCGACGTTAGTTTATCTGGGTCTCGTCTACAATCGACGTCCCCGAACGTTTACAGTCGTCGTTAGTTTATCTGGGTCTCGTCTACAATCGACGTCCCAGAACGTCTACAATCGTCGTTAGTTTATCTGGGTCTCGTCTACAATCGACGTCCCAGAACGTCTACAGTCGTCGTTAGGTTATCTGGGTCTCGTCTACAATCGACGTCCCAGAACGTCTACAGTCGTCGTTAGTTTATCTGGGTCTCGTCTACAATCGGCGTCCCAGAACGTTTACAGTCGTCGTTAGTTTATCTGGGTCTCGTCTACAATCGGCGTCCTAGAACGTCTACAGTCGTCGTTAATTTATCTGGGTCTCGTCTACAATCGACGTCCCAGAACGTCTACAGTCGTTGTTAGTTTATCTGGGTCTCGTCTACAATCGGCGTCCTAGAACGTTTACAGTCGTCGTTAGTTTATCTGGGTCTCGTCTACAATCGACGTCCCAGAACGTTTACAGTCGTCGTTAGTTTATCTGGGTCTCGTCTACAATCGGCGTCCTAGAACGTCTACAGTCGTCGTTAATTTATCTGGGTCTCGTCTACAATCGACGTCCCAGAACGTCTACAGTCGTTGTTAGTTTATCTGGGTCTCGTCTACAATCGGCGTCCCAGAACGTCTACAGTCATCGTTAGTTTATCTGAGTCTCGTCTACAATCGACGTCCCCGAACGTCTACAGTCGACGTTAGTTTATCTGGGTCTCGTCTACAATCGGCGTCCCAGAACGTCTACAGTCGACGTTAGTTTATCTGGGTCTCGTCTACTATCGGCGTCCCAGAACGTCTACAGTCGACGTTAGTTTATCTGGGTCTAGTCTACAATCGACGTCCCAGAACGTCTACAGTCAACGTTAGTTTATCTGGGTCTCGTCTACAATCGATGTCCCAGAACGTCTACAGTCGTCGTTAGTTTATCTGGGTCTCGTCTACAATCGACGTCCCCGAACGTCTACAGTCGTCGTTAGTTTATCTGGGTCTCGTCTACAATCGACGTCCCAGAACGTCTACAGTCGTCGTTAGTTTATCTGGGTCTCGTCTACAATCGACGTCCCAGAACGTTTACAGTCGTCGTTAGTTTATCTGGGTCTGGTCTACAATCGACGTCCCAGAACGTTTACAGTCGTCGTTAGTTTATCTGGGTCTCGTCTACAATCGACGTCCCAGAACGTCTACATTCGCCGTTAGTTTATCTGGGTCTCGTCTACTATCGGCGTCCCAGAACGTCTACAGTCGACGTTAGTTTATCTGGGTCTCGTCTACAATCGACGTCCCTGAACGTCTATAGTTGACGTTAGTTTATCTGGGTCTAGTCTACAATCGACGTCCCAGAACGTTTACAGTCGACGTTAGTTTATCTGGGTCTCGTCTACAATCGACGTCCCCGAACGTCTACAGTCGACGTTAGTTTATCTGGGTCTGGTCTACAATCGACGTCCCAGAACGTTTACAGTCGTCGTTAGTTTATCTGGGTCTCTTCTACAATCGACGTCCCAGAACGTCTACAATCGTCGTTAGTTTATCTGGGTCTAGTCTACAATCGACGTCCCAGAACGTTTACAGTCGTCGTTAGTTTATCTGGGTCTAGTCTACAATCGACGTCCCAGAACGTTTACAGTCGTCGTTAGTTTATCTGGGTCTCGTCTACAATCGACGTCCCCGAACGTCTACAGCAGGGATGGAAATTAGCACCCGCCACCAGCCAAATGCGGGTGATTTTGTGTTGTGGCGGGTAAACTCGCTTCACCTACCGGCCACCGTGGCGGGTAAATAAAAATAGCATACTGTTTCACCCGGACGGCGGACACTTTTAGAGGAGGCACACCTTCAAACAAAAATGTGGCGTTACATCGCAGGTGTAGAGGTCTGCAGAGAAAACATCATGGTGCGTTCACACCAAACGAGATTAGAGCGTCTGGCGCGAGTGATTTCATTGTTAAGTCAATGCAAAGACGCGTTATGCGCGTAAAAAATTCCTACGGCGCGAATGAGGTGTAGAGCGCGCCGTGGTAGATGCGAATACGCCTCATTCGCGCGGCAAGTTCGAGCGTCTGACGCGTTCCGCGCGCATGATTTTATTGAGTGCTTTTGTGCATTCACGCGTTTGACGCGAATTCGCGTCTGCCGCCCGAGTTGAAAAATCTGAACTTTGGCGTCAATTCGCGCCGCGTTAACCAATCAGGAGCCTAGCTGCTGTCACGTGGTGAAGTATCTGGATGCTTCAATAAATTATTTTGTATTAAATGCCTGATGTGGTTCTAATGCACAACAAAGCAAATATTTTATCACATAAAACTTGATTTCAATATATGAGACATATTCATTTTGTATTGAATGCTATTTATTCCATTTCATATCTAGATTATATTAAATATTATTCTAATGTAAAGGCAACCAACATACTATAGCTCATAAATCCGTGTCTGGAGAGTGTTGTGTGAGAGAAAAAAAAATCACAGGACAGGTTATTTACTTTTGGAGGCTGGCTCAAATTATCATCAAAACAAAAATAAATGACAGATTAGGTGGATGAGGCCGAGGGTGAGAGAAAGAGAAAATGTCAGTATTTCATTGAGACTTGAGATTAAATAAACTGCTTAAGTATTCTTGTAGTATTAATTTTCACATGCAGTTACACATTGTCGGTTAAAAACAAGAAAGTGGCTGGTAAAAACATTGAGTGGCTGGTAGATTTTGAAATCCACCAGCCACAGTGGCCGGTGGACAAAAAAGTTAATTTCCATCCCTGGTCTACAGTCGACGTTAGTTTATCTGGGTCTCGTCTACAATCGACGTCCCCGAACGTCTACAGTCGTTGTTAGTTTATCTGGGTCTAGTCTACAATCGGCGTCCCAGAACGTCTACAGTCGTCGTTAGTTTATCTGGGTCTCGTCTACAATCGACGTCCCAGAACGTCTACAGTCGTTGTTAGTTTATCTGGGTCTAGTCTACAATCGGCGTCCCAGAACGTCTACAGTCGTCGTTAGTTTATCTGAGTCTCGTCTACAATCGACGTCCCCGAACGTCTACAGTCGACGTTAGTTTATCTGGGTCTCGTCTACAATCGGCGTCCCAGAACGTCTACAGTCGACGTTAGTTTATCTGGGTCTCGTCTACTATCGGCGTCCCAGAACGTCTACAGTCGACGTTAGTTTATCTGGGTCTAGTCTACAATCGACGTCCCAGAACGTCTACAGTCGACGTTAGTTTATCTGGGTCTCGTCTACAATCGACGTCCCCGAACGTCGACAGTCGTCGTTAGTTTATCTGGGTCTCGTCTACAATCGACGTCCCCGAACGTCTACAGTCGTCGTTAGTTTATCTGGGTCTCGTCTACAATCGACGTCCCAGAACGTCTACAGTCGTCGTTAGTTTATCTGGGTCTCGTCTACAATCGACGTCCCAGAACGTTTACAGTCGTCGCTAGTTTATCTGGGTCTCGTCTACAATCGACGTCCCAGAACGTTTACAGTCATCGTTAGTTTATCTGGGTCTCGTCTACAAACGACGTCCCAGAACGTCTACATTCGCCGTTAGTTTATCTGGGTCTCGTCTACTATCGGCGTCCCAGAACGTCTACAGTCGACGTTAGTTTATCTGGGTCTCGTCTACAATCGACGTCCCTGAACGTCTACAGTTGACGTTAGTTTATCTGGGTCTCGTCTACAATCGACGTCCCAGAACGTCTACAATCGTCGTTAGTTTATCTGGGTCTAGTCTACAATCGACGTCCCAGAACGTTTACAGTCGTCGTTAGTTTATCTGGGTCTAGTCTACAATCGACGTCCCCGAACGTCTACAGTCGACGTTAGTTTATCTGGGTCTCGTCTACAATCGACGTCCCCGAACGTCTACAGTCGTCGTTAGTTTATCTGGGTCTCGTCTACTATCGGCGTCCCAGAACGTCTACAGTCGTCGTTAGTTTATCTGGGTCTCGTCTACAATCGACGTCCCAGAACGTCTACAATCGTCGTTAGTCTATCTGGGTCTAGTCTACAATCGACGTCCCAGAACGTTTACAGTCGTCGTTAGTTTATCTGGGTCTCGTCTACAATCGACGTCCCCGAACGTCTACAGTCGACGTTAGTTTATCTGGGTCTCGTCTACAATCGACGTCCCCGAACGTCTACAGTCGTTGTTAGTTTATCTGGGTCTAGTCTACAATCGGCGTCCCAGAACGTCTACAGTCGTCGTTAGTTTATCTGAGTCTCGTCTACAATCGAGGTCCCAGAACGTTTACAGTCGTCGTTAGTTTATCTGGGTCTCGTCTACAATCGACGTCCCCGAACGTCTACAGTCGACGTTAGTTTATCTGGGTCTCGTCTACAATCGACGTCCCAGAACGTCTACAGTCGTCGTTAGTTTATCTGGGTCTCGTCTACAATCGACGTCCCAGAACGTCTACAGTCGACGTTAGTTTATCTGGGTCTCGTCTACAATCGGCGTCCCAGAACGTCTACAGTCGTCGTTAGTTTATCTGGGTCTCGTCTACAATCGACGTCCCCGAACGTCTACAGTCGTCGTTAGTTTATCTGGGTCTCGTCTACAATCGGCGTCCCAGAACGTTTACAGTCGACGTTAGTTTATCTGGGTCTCGTCTACAATCGGCGTCCCAGAACGTCTACAGTCGACGTTAGTTTATCTGGGTCTCGTCTACAATCGACGTCCCCGAACGTCTACAGTCGTCGTTAGTTTATCTGGGTCTCGTCTACAATCGGCGTCCCAGAACGTTTACAGTCGACGTTAGTTTATCTGGGTCTCGTCTACAATCGACGTCCCCGAACGTCTACAGTCGACGTTAGTTTATCTGGGTCTCGTCTACAATCGACGTCCCAGAACGTCTACAGTCGTCGTTAGTTTATCTGGGTCTCGTCTACAATCGACGTCCCAGAACGTCTACAGTCGTCGTTAGTTTATCTGGGTCTCGTCTACAATAGGCGTCCCAGAACGTCTACAGTCGTCGTTAGTTTATCTGGGTCTCGTCTACAATCGACGTCCCAGAACGTCTACAGTCGTCGTTAGTTTATCTGGGTCTCGTCTACAATCGACGTCCCCGTTAAATAATATAATTTATACTCTAGCGCGTCTCCTCATCGACGTCGGCCGAATCGCCTAACCCTAACTTGCTGCGCAGCAATAATAACCGACAGACTTCAGACAATGCCTTAAAATATGATTTAATCACGGCCGGAGGATCTCAGACAAATTTCAGAGAGAATCCCACCCGCAAAAAGAATACAACAGTTTACAGTATTATGTAATACGGTATTACATAATTTCACTACAATTTGATTGGTTCTTTATAGACAAACCCTTCTGTTACTAGGTAGAAGCAAACTCTGTTTTTGTGATTACTTCATAATCACAAGTTTTGAAACCTAGACATCTGTCTAGTTTCATTTCCCCTATTTGTTATCTATACACTCACACACTCAGTCACGAGTTTTCGACCAAATGGTTTGGAAACATTTAAGATTCAAAAGCATATGGATGTTGTTCCTGCAAGAAAAATAAATGTTAGTTATGATTCATTAAAAAATCCATTACATCCCGTAGATGGGTTGCTTGCGCTCTTTAACCTCGCGCACGAGCAGATCCGTTTGCTCTCTGGAGTCTTTCTGCTTGCAAATTCCTGCATGTAAATAGCGAATCCGCCATGGCTCGAGCGCAACTGGCTTTTAAAGGGAATGGGAAATTACACTCTGATTGGTGTATTGCACGTTATGCCCAAAACACCAGTTGCACCTCATTGCAGTACACGAGATCCAGGGGGCGGAGTTGGATCCAGATCTAAGGGATGGAGATGGGTAGGATTAGGGGTGGGGTTAGGGATCAGGGGGTGGAGATGGGTAGGATTAGGGGTGGGGTTAGGGATCAGGGGTCGGAGATGGGTAGGTTTAGGTATATGTAAGGTGGGAGGAGTTGGATCTGGATCCAACTCCTCCCCCTGGATGTCGTGCAGTGAGGACCATCTCCAAAACACACCCATTGCTCATTAAGAGAATGGGGACAACGCTTTTAGACCAACCTTTTTTCCGTCGTCAAACTAACAAAAGTGGATTCGGACACGCCCTAAGTGCACTTGCGCCGTGCGCTTTAGACTATGCGCTTAGATCCTTAAAATAGGGCCCCATCTCTGATTAGATTTTAACTTCTGTTGGGTTTAATCTATTGCAGATATGTTCGTGTGGTGGTGCTGCCGTGCTCTGAGCCCGTTCGCTGTTTGTTCCGCACCCACGGCGCTCTTCCGCAGGAACCCGTAGAGCTCAAGGAAGCGTTTAGCCTGCAGATGTCCTCCACTGCTCTCAGACAGAAGACCCTACGCATTGATGTCTGTACCACCAGCAAATCTGGCCGAGAAGACTGTCTAGTGAGTGTCTGATCTGAGATTGAGCAAACAGCACGATGGATAAACATCAATAAAGTGTCTAAAGTGTCTTTTTTTGTCTTGAAAGGCTGGTGCTCAGATCAGTTTGGCTGATGAGGAGTATTCAGAGGAGTGGTGCACCAAGTGGTACAACCTCCTCAACTGCACGTACATGCCAGAAATGGATAGAAAGCACAAGGAAACAGAGGTCTCCGCTCAGCAGGAGCTGGTAAAACACACACACACACACACACACTCACAATGCTTAACTCATTTTACCTCACCACAGCTAAATGCTTTACTAACATTTCTTGGAAATGGTCTTGCCAAACTGCTAAGCTCATCGAGGAACATGGAGTATTCATAAATATTATATCCAGTTCTTTCTGAAGAAATGGATTATTTCTTGCCCAAAAAGTCCTTTCTGCTTTCTAATACTGTTGATGATCAAATTACATAGAATTAGTTGCTTCACTTCTTATCAGCAGTTTTGAATTTGCAAACAGCCTGTTCTTTTATGATGTTTATTATATCTAGATTTTACTGGTACTTTCCACGAATAAGGCACAAAATAAGGCCTGAAGCTCTTTTATCTTGTGAGATGATTTTTGTTACTTCAGTAAACTTCAATAGACATCAACATTAAATAGATAAAATAATACAAATGTGAGATGGTGATATTATATTATTACTTTAATTTAATTCAATTGAAAATTAAAATTTTTTAGTTTTGACAGTGAAAATTATTATGTAGTTTGTTTTGATGAATTGTTGAATAAAGTGGAGAAGATCAAAACCTCCAAGTTGGGACAGACCAAAATCACCATTTTACGAGGAATTTTTTATATATCTACCTTGCATTCTAGGTTAATTTTATGTTAAATAATAGTTTATCCGTTTCTTCCAACAAAATCATGTGCATCTAAAACAATAACAGGACACAAAATTGTACCCTATTCACAAAAAAGTGCCTTATTGCATTTTGCCAATAATTGGCCAAAGTATTACATTTAGAAAGTATTAGATACAATTAGCATGCATCTGTTACCAACAGGTATAAGACACATTTAAAGTAATATATTGCAGAAAAGCCTAAATCAAGGATGTTTTTAAATACATCATAATCTTTATCCTATTATTTATTTTTAGGCTTCAGCTCCCAGCACCTCAGAGACCGCCACTGCACACCTGGAGAACGTTCCTGTGGAGGACTGGTACGTTACCTGCCACCACTTGTGACGAAGCACCAATATAATAAGCTTTAATCCATTTCAGCACAGCTGTTAACCTTAACAATGTGTCAGTGAGAGTCTGGGTTTCACATCATACCCAGTATCCCACCCAGGATCAACACAAGCAATTAACAAGCTGTTTGAATCTCATATTCCTTCTCTTCCTTTTCCAACCCCTATTTTCTTATTGACTGACCTCCTTTCTGCTGTCTCGTGAGAATTTATCACAGTGAGACGGCACACGATGACTCACTTTCCCTGGTGTTTGATCTGCTCCGCCAAAATTACATTAGTAACATAAACAGGATGAACAACTGATCCAAGGACTGTGCATGAGCAATACTGAGGGGCATATTTCCTCTCTCATGTCATTTTCTGGACTCTTTCGATACACGTGTATCGAAATTAGCTCACCTTGCCTCTTTTGGATTGGCTGAAGGGCAGTCTCATGATTTGAACCAAAACTGCACTTTACAATGCCTGTTTGTTTTAGACGATGATTCAACCACAACCACCTGTCATGGAAATTAAAAACAAAGACAGGAATGTGGCATGGCAGCATTTTTCGAGAGCATTTTCCACCATCACTCGCTTCTGAAAGGTTGCAGACTAGATAAGTAAAAGTGTTGCTCTTTTAGGATCATTACGGTTTAACTCAGTTGCATTTCTTAAAACACAACAATAACTTTCTATTTAATTCGGAGCACTGTGACTTTCAGTACTGATGGTCTGATTACAACAGTGAAAACTACCTTTTTTTTTTTTTTTTTTTCGCTAACTAAAAGAAAAAAAGCCAAATAATGTAAATGTAATTGCAGCTTCTAAATGTGTTAGTAGATTTTAATATAACAGACTATGGCCACGTACATACTACAGCTAAATCCGTTTGTCGGTTCACCTTTTATTGCTTAATTCAGTTCTGAACACACAAACAGTTTAGCAATTAGCTTTTACTTTTTCGTTTTAGCTAAATTCTGTGTACGGAACGGAACTGAACAACTAGTTGTTAATGACGTATTTAAATGCACATCAGAGGCATTACTCTCTTCTGTATGTCTTTACTCTTCTTGACTTGTGTTGACAGATATCAAGCTCAAACAAGCAGCCCAAAAACGCTTAATAATTGTGTTAAAGTCCCCCTGTAGTCAATAATTTTGTTCTTTTAAACTCATCTTTGATCACCAAAATGACATCTTTAAACGTTTTTTTCCTTGAAAAAATTCTTCATTCCCTAAAATAGCTTGAATGTAACTCTACAACCTTGCCCCGTGCATGCAAACTACAATTTCGCACGAGGTAAAATATTTTCATGGATTTCGCATCGCATTCGATTCAAGTTTGTTCAACTCTAAATCCACCGTGTTGACTAATATAAAACTGCTAAGTTTGGAAGTGAGTAAGCATTGCTTCATGGGTCAAAATATTAATAACGGTCGGATAATGGACCTTCTTTGTCTGGGAAGTTTTGCTAATGTGACCGCATCTTAAGAAAACTACATTCATTTACAAAGAAATTACTTTAATTGGACAAATTAAACTTGAACTTTGATAGTAATTGTGTTGTTGTAAGTATAATGCAGATGAATATATAGATAAAGTACATAGCATTTGTGGGTACTAAAAGAGATGGAAACTAAAGGAAAGCAAAACTAAAAGTAGTCATTTTCGGAAGATAAAATGAAATTACTTAAAGGTGAAGTATGTAAGTTTTTTTATGTTACTTAAAAACAAATGTTTTATGTTTTTGTAATACATTCTCTTAACCCAGTTTATTGTTCATTGTATCTCTCCCAAAAGTAAACATTGAGAAAAGATTGAGCGGTCTGCTCAGATCTGTCAATCTCTTTCCAGCTCAACCAATAGAGAGAGTTTGGGGCGTGGCTACTGTAGCAGGCGCAGCCTGAGAGTGTTTGTTTAGCCGGCGTGGGACCATGACTGACGCGTTACACAGGAAAATCATTCAGCTTTGGGTACTGGAGTGCAAGCCAAATTTCGAACCTTTAAAGATTAAACAACCAGGCCATGAACACGTCAAAGCGAATGGGGCATTGCGATGCAACGCACTGCAATGGACGTTTCAGTACAACATCATCATGTGCACGTTCAGAAAGACAATTGTTCCTGTTTATATGTTTTTCTTTTTGACGTGTCCAGTGTATGCAGTCTCAAATAGTTGTGGCACGACATGTCAAAAATGCTGCCGGTGCAGATATACACCGGATGGCTTTATTATAAGCGAGATGCTCGCGTTCGCTCTAGAGAGTGTTTGCCTACTCAGTTGCTTACTCATGAAACATAGCAACACAGCTAAAAGTATTCCTTTATATGTACCTGTTGAGACATGCCTTCACAAGCTCCCCTAAGACCTGTGTTTTTGATGTTTGAGATTGGACAGGCATGGCGCACAAAAGGGGTGTTTGCAGAATATGCTGTATTTATGTAATTCTTTGCTTGTAATAAGCCATAATAACCCTGGTGTCAAATGGCATATTTGTGATCTTACAGGCCCACAGAGGCATTAGATGGTGACGTGTTTGTGGATGGAGAAGGTAGTGATGTTGAGGAGGGTGAGGAGTTCTATCCCGATGAATGCCCGTGGGAACAGGAGGAAGAGCCGGTTAAACTTGGACCAACAGCAGTGATAACGGAAAAGGTGACAGCCATGATTCATTTATACACAGCAAAAACTTTCTCATTGCTTTTATAGAAGTTTTTGTTGTACCTTTCCAATGAAACTTAATGACATCCTCTCTTTGCCTCATAAGGTGAATAAGGAGACAAGTGTGGACGGACTCCCCCATTCTGCTTCTGTAGTTCGGCCCAAGGAGCGACGACACGATGTTCATCAGCAAAACCCTTTCATGAGAGGGAACACCATCATACGGTCCAAGACATTTTCACCTGGACCTCAGAGCCAGTATATCTGCAGGGTGAGAACATAGATTCACACATTTAGATATTTAAAATTATTATTAGAGCTCAATATTATTATTATTATTTTTTTTTTTTTTTACCTATGCCCAAATTCATTAAATCACCAGATCAACCGCAGCGACAGTGACAGCTCCACCCTTTCTAAGAAATCTCCATTCGTCCGGAACGCTTCTGAGAGACGCAGTGTTCGAATGAAGAAGGTAACATGAAAATATTACACATTCACATCCACTCGTTTGGCTAAAAATCTCATGATTCTTATGATCTTATGACCAGTTCAGAGACCCCATGGTCCTTTAATAGCTAAAAAAAATGCTTTACATTCAGGTTGATGCTTAATTTCTTCTGCAAATCCTATGAAAATTGTCCTAATGAAATAATAATCCTAATAAATCCAAAAATTCAAATTGATAAACACGCTTCAACCATCTCAAATAGGCCCCCAAACATATAAATCGTGCAGTTAATCTCAACAGAACAGAAATGGAATTAAATTCCATTTAGGGATCCCTTTGGATTTTTCTTAGGAAACTGCATGCATTTCACTAACCCTAAAGCTAAACACTTTCCTTAGAAAGGGGAGTTTAGGCTTATTAGCAGCAGTTTAATATTTAATACCGACATTTCTGTGCTGACCTGAGGTCAGTGTTAATGAAGCACAGTCTCAGAGTGAGCAAATGGGTTTGCTGAGCCCCTCCAGAGGGCCTCAAATAGTCTAGAAAGGTCAGATTTGCTCTCACTGTGCCTTAGGAGACACATTACATTGAGTCTTTTAAAGCAGTGTCATAGTGAGAGTGTAATTCTGAATTGATTTGCCTAATGAGGACTGTACAGAGAGCTTTAATGATTTATAGTACAGGCTTTTAAAGTCTCCTAAAAGGGGATAAAGTACCACCTCCCTTTAAAGCAGTAATATAAAAATATCACATATCTCATCTATCTATCAGTAAATTACAGGAACATCTGTCTGTCTGTCTGTCTGTCTGTGTGTGTGTGTGTGTGTGTGTGTGTGTGTGTGTCTGTTATTCGCATATCTCTCGAACCGTTAGTCCAATGGATTTCAAACTTGACAGGTGTCTTGCTACGGGCACGAGTAAGTGCAGTGCCAAGTTTGACGTTGTTTGTATTCGAAATGCAAAAGATATCGGTAAATATATCGGTAAAAGAAGCACTTAGAAGGTTGTGGTTTAAAAATAAACATTCTGACATAAACACTCTGTCAGCTAAACATTAACCCTTTCACACGTAAGTGTAAAATATTCTAACTGACCCCCCAGCGTGAGTTTTTCAAGGCGACCGTTATTTAGAACTTGTCACTTTAATGTTTCCATAGTGACGCGTCACTGCTTGTCACGTGACACAGCGCAACCACAACACAGTGCTGAATGAATGATGATCTGCTTTTATGTCATTTTTCCTTTTTTATTAAAAATATTCACAAATGTATTAGCTATAGCATGAAACACTGATTTTCCGATTGTCAAATATGTGCAAGTGGATGGGTTTTGTTGTTTAACCCTCTGGGGACAAAGGTGCTTTGTCAGTTATTTATAAACATGTTAATGGCAAAGGTGTAAATTCACTCTATATAGCACAAACGGGGCTACCATAGTATGTGAGCAACATGTATGTACATGTTTGTATTTTTGAGAAAATATTATTTATGCATGGTTATTGAAAAAACTAAAACTAAAAGTTTCTGAAATAAGGCCACAAAACACATATTGATTATTTATTCACAAGACTTTTGAAAATTGTATCACATAGTCTAGAATATTTGCTCCAAAACTATGTGAGAATCATCCTGACTACTCATTCAGATAAGTCAATAAAGTCTTTTATAATGTGTATGACGTGTTTAGTGTGAGAAAGCTTAATGCGAGGAGGCGTGATCTCTCATTAATATGTATGGCATTTCACACCTGAGAAAGACATAATGGCCCTATAAGGTGCTATCAGGCCCTATCATTACGAGGAGCCTTGCACAAAAAATGAGGAGATTTAAAAAAGAAAGGCTTTTAGATTGTTTGGATTTATTTACAACACAACATAATCCAAAGATGCACAACAAAGGACAAAAAAAGCACATTAGTAAACACACTGATCTAAAGACAGAGGCTTGCACAGTCACACAGGATTGTCCCATTCCTGAAACATAGTACATACCTGTCATTTCCAAAGTGTTTGATTTTTCATTTTACCATGTTCACGTACAGTCTCCTGTGAATGTTGAAGTCAGCAGGACTCATCAGTGGCATCTCATCCCTGTAAAAAATAAAATAAACACCTGTGAACATGCTGATATCAAGAGAAACTATATGGCTGCACGACTTTGGGCATGCATTGTAGATTTTTCTGGTTAAAATTGCTTTTTAATTATATATACACACACACTGCTTAGAATAAGTGAACACACCCATGCTAAAGTTGACTAAAACGAGGAATAAAAAATCTTAATGCCTTACTTACTTAATGCCTTAATTAAAAAAATGAGAAAAACTCCAACCTTTAGGGACATGAATAATCCCCCTGAATTATTTGTGAATGAATAATGTATCGCAAATAATTAAATGTTCTTCTTTAAAATACAGGGTGCATACGTCTGGACACTTCTATCACACACCCTTCACCATATAGACATGGTTTTATTTCAGTTAGTTAATAATAATAACAATAGCCAAGAATGCGGCCTATAAATCGTTAAAAAGAAAAACTTCAGTACACTAGAAAAAAATATATGGATACGTTTACTTCAAATGTTTCCATTCGTTACAAACACAGTATTTAACAGCAAACATGTTTCTAAACATTATAATATTCACCATATTAGAGTAAACACTGATACTAGCCTAACATAAAGCTGTGTTTTATTAAACATAAAAACATCCTCGTGTCGTACATGACAAATACATTTCCTGCCCCTGTCTAGGCTATAGTTCATATTTCAACATGGTTCTATCGATTTCATAAATTTTAGTCTAGCAACAGTTCAACTGGAATGTCAAGTGTATGCAACAATAACACTAACTAATATAATTCATAATACATTTCTTACCTTACATCTTTCTTGTCTTCAAATCGCGTTCTTCTTCTTCTGATGTAACTAAATCCAATGTAAGCTCACTGCGTGTCTTCCGAACTCGAAGAAAAGCAGAGGACTGATGAAGTTTGGTGCTTTGTTTTTGAGGTAATGAGCGCGTTCTTCTTCTGATGTAACTAAATCCAATGTAAGCTCACTGCGTGTCTTCCGAACTCGACGAAAAGCAGAGGAGAGGAGTGAAGTTTGGTGCATTGTTTTTGAGGTAATGAGCGCGTTCGCGTTCCTTCATGGAGATTTGCATATCAGTCTCTTTTGTGGGCGTGCGTGGTCAAATTAAAAATAATGAGCAAGCGTTTGAGAAACTGGACATCTTGTTATGTATGTACAAATACTAACTAAATTGTTTTAGTTTTGAATCAGCTCATTTAAAAGTACAAACTTAAATGATTATAAAGATATACATTTCAGGCCTGGGTGAATAGTATTAGCTGAGTTTTGTTTAAGTTTAAGAGACGTGCTCCAGAAAAAAAGTTCACGGAGAAGGGGAGGCAGAACGCACACCCTGTTTATTTTCTTTATTTTACAAAACCACAATATTTTATTTCGATTGTATGTGGGCACATAAAAAAGTAGACATTTAACAGTTTATTTTCTCATATTTCTTAACTCTATATGACCAGAAATTATGGTAGTACTTTAAGTCTATTTTTCTGCTATGTGAAAAAAAACGAGCAAAACGCACGGGTGCGTTCTTGGTCCCCAGAGGGTTAAACACCTTTATAACGATCGCGTTAGTTGAGCTGTATGCACAATGGGCGGCGCCATTTTAGTTTGTTTTACAGTTCAGAGAATCGGATCTGTTGGATTTACAACACGTCAATAGAAGAATAGGGTCAAATGTAAAGCGACTTACACAATGTGTATCTGATATAAATAAAACGTGTCGTCTTATTATAATGGAAAGGATTATTATTGCCGCTTCCATAGACATCAGTGTGTATTTTACAAACTCAAAATCATTGTTTTGCTAGTACTTATGTGTATTTAAATGTCTGAAACCTAAAATAAACATTATGTGATTGAAAACACTCAATAGTTGTGATATATGACAGCACTGAGCGCATCCGTCTCTGGCTCAGCACCAGCCAACGCGCGAAAGCACGTTTGAATTTAGCAGTTGATCACGTGATGCACTGACCGTTCTAATCACACCGGTGTGATCGTACGCTCCAGGGACCAGCCAAGACTGATCACACCGGTGTGATCGTACGCGTGAAAGGGTTAAGTTAGCTACACAGTTTACTTCTGAATATTATATTTTACTCACGGCCATCATTTGTAGTAGCCTATTCACAAACTGTTTGCTCAAGCGTAGCGTTTTTTTGGAGTTCACTGTGTAGCCTGCTCCCTGAATCGTCGCGCTTATTAATTTGTGGATGTTAACTGCTACGCTGTTTACTTCTGAATATTATATCTATCTATAAATTACAGGAACGTCTTTCTGTTTGTCTGTGTGTGTGTGTGTTTGTGTGTGTGTCTTTTATGCGCATATCTCTCGAACTGTTAGTCCGATGGATTTCAAATTTGACGTGTCTTGCTACAGGCACGAGTAAGTGCAGTGCCACGTTTGACGTTGTTTGGATTAGAAATGCAAAAGATATCTTTAAATATATCGGTAAAAGAATCACACATTGGTTTTTGCCTCTGTAGCCGCTGGCCACTCCCCCTCTCACACTGCACACTGAGATCACTCCCCCTCTCACGCTGCACACTGAGGCCACTCCCCCTCTCACACTGCACACTGAGTGGCCACTCCCCCTCTCACGCTGCACACTGAGGCCACTCCCCCTCTCACACTGCACACTGAGGCCACTCCCCCTCTCACACTGCACACTGAGGCCACTCCCCCTCTCACACTGCACACTGAGATCACTCCCCCTCTCACACTGCACACTGAGACCACTCCCCCTCTCACACTGCACACTGAGGCCACTCCCCCTCTCACACTGCACACTGAGGCCACTCCCCCTCTCACACTGCACACTGAGACCACTCCCCCTCTCACACTGCACACTAAGGCCACTCCCCCTCTCACACTACACACTGAGGCCACTCCCCCTCCCACTGCACACTGAGGCCACTCCCCCTCTCACACTGCACACTGAGACCACTCCCCCTCTCACACTGCACACTAAGGCCACTCCCCCTCTCACACTGCACACTGAGGCCACTCCCCCTCCCACTGCACACTGAGGCCACTCCCCCTCTCACATTGCACACTGAGACCACTCCCCCTCTCACACTGCAAAATAAGGCCACTCCCCCTCTCACATTGCACACTGAGACCACTCCCCCTCTCACATTGCACACTGAGACCACTCCCCCTCTCACACTGCAAAATAAGGCCACTCCCCCTCTCACATTGCACACTGAGACCACTCCCCCTCTCACACTGCACACTGAGGCCACTCCCCCTCTCACACTGCAAAATAAGGCCACTCCCCCTCTCACATTGCACACTGAGGCCACTCCCCCTCTCACACTGCACACTGAGACCACTCCCCCTCTCACACTGCACAATAAGGCCACTCCCCCTCTCACACTGCACACTGAGTGGCCACTCCCCCTCTCACACTGCACACTGAGTGGCCACTCCCGCTCTCACACTGCACACTGAGACCACTCCCCCTCTCACACTGCACACTGATTGACCACTCCCCCTCTCACACTGCACACTGATTGACCACTCCCCCTCTCACACTGCACACTGAGGCCACTCCCCCTCTCACACTGCACACTGAGATCACTCCCCTCTCACACTGCACACTGAGGCCACTCCCCCTCTCACACTGCACACTGAGACCACTCCCCCTCTCACACTGCACACTAAGGCCACTCCCCTTCTCACATTGCACACTGAGACCACTCCCCCTCTCACACTGCACACTGAGGCCACTCCCCCTCTCACACTGCACACTGAGATCACTCCCCCTCTCACACTGCACACTGAGTGGCCACTCCCCCTCTCACACTGCACACTGAGTGGCCACTCCCCCTCTCACACTGCACACTGAGTGGCCACTCCCCCTCTCACACTGCACACTGAGGCCACTCCCCCTCTCACACTGCACACTGAGACCACTCCCCCTCTCACACAACATGATGTTCCATTATGATAATTGCACATTAAAAACAAAACAGCAGACAATATATATATATATATATATATATATATATATATATATATTGGCTGCTGTTTTGTTTTTAATGTGCAATTATCATAATGGAACATCACAACTCTATTGCATGTCTGCAAAATGTAGTAACTCACTCAAAACATTCAACAATTCATGCTTCAAAACGTAGTTATTGTGTCAGTAAAATGGCCAATGCCATTTTTTTTCATCATGTGAGCCACACTGGTCAGAATGTTTAGATGTTTTTTCAAATCATGCAGTCACTCATGGAAATATTTGTTATTTACAAATTTCATGTTTGTTTTGCTTTTTTGTTGACACTGATTGCTTTCTATGTCTATACAACAATATCAGTTTTGTCTAGCTGAATGCTCTTGTGTCTCACACTGAGCTTTTTAGATACAGATGTCTACAGTAGGTACAAATTTACTGGGAAAATTCAATAGACAAATATAAACATTTATATTTATACTGTACATTTATTTTTTATGGAAATGTGCTTCATTTGAAAATTCACAATTGCTTGTTAATTTTTACCCACTCTATTACCTCTCCTTCAAACGTGATTGTTTGATTGGTAAGATAAATGGTACTTCATTTACAATGGCAGGCCATTTGCCAATTTAGTAGACGTCACAAACATTCAATGTCATAGATATTTATGGAATATACATGCATGTCTGGCAGATTTTAATAATTGAATAGATCATTTTGCATGTGAAGGCTTCCACGAGGAAAGAACATTTAGAAGTTGTGGAGTTTGACAATTTCACTGAGAATCAACTCATCAGTTTTGATCAACAAACCATGTTCATTCAGTTATTGCTTAAATCATTAAGGAATTCAAATCTGATGTGAACAAGAAAGTAACTGATCAGAGATCTGAACTCAAGAGAAAAAAAACTTGCGAATTGAGCCAAAGCGATTGAGAAAAACTGTACGATTTTGAAGAAGAATTTGCATTAGTGCTCACGGATGTTTGGGTCCTAACAACAACAAAGAATGTTTATCTACGTATATGTTTTACTAAAACATTTCAAAGCATGTTAAATGCTGTGTATGGACCAGTGATTTTTGACTTGTGATTGGTTGCATAAACTGCTTTTAAGACTAGTCTAAAATCAGAAAAGTAAAGTCTAATAGCTGGGTTTCAGTCACGTGATTATGATGAAGCGCGGAATTCAGATGGAGGGCAGGGAGTGAAGAGCGCAATGGACGAGATGGAGGAAAGTCCGTACTGTACTACTTTACACACTATTACAAGAGAAGATATAAACAAAAAATCAAACATATGTTGTACGTGATCCTTACGTTATGAAGAGGAGCGATTTTTCAACTGAATTGAAAGATTTTCCTGCCATCGAGGCAGTAGATATCAGCAACTACCTCGTCTTATAGACATACTTTGACTTTGCAAAGTTCGGAAACGTTACACGTTAACTTACACGTTACACAAACATAGCCACTTAAGTTGTATTAACTCACCTTTGACGAAGTGATCACTGCACACACGGGCATTTTCCCATTCGGCTCCTCCCGACCGCAGACGTAGGTTTGCAAGCTGTTTTTCCGGAGTTTTTCGGTCAATTTCTTGCATTTTCCCCCCTTATGAACAACAACTTTTGGTACACGATAAAAACTCCTCGTGGTTTGATCGATTTAAGTAACCATAAACGACGCAAAACATAGGCACTTTGAGTTTGTTATAGTGCTTTCTAAATACAGCAAATCACTTCCTGCCCCCCATTTGCATTTCGCGCCATGGCAACGCAGTGGTGTGACGTCATATGAAAACAAGCTATTGCTGACACATAAAGGAACTGGCCCTTGATGACACAACAGAGCTATTGAATAAGTTTTCACCCCTCTGTTCTCTCTCTTTCACACACACAGCCACCAATGCAGATCAAAGGTCTGGACGGGCTTCTGCGCACCTCTCTGGATCTGGAGTTAGACTTGCAGGTGACTCGCACACGGCAAAGCCGACTGAACGAGGAACTGCGTGTGCTGCGGGAGCTAAAGGAGCAGTTGGAGAACGCCCGTCTGAAGGGCCAGCACGTCCTCCCCGCATGGGTACAGGAGGACGAGCGCTTTCGTCTGCTGCTCAAACATGCAGAGAGACAGGTCAGTCCCAGTAGATTTCCAGAACCAACAAATCCACAAACGGCACGTCATCCGGTCCAGCTTCTGATTTCGATTCGCCATTCTCTCCTCAGACCCAGGAAGAGCAGCTACAGGAACAGAGGGTAGAGAAGATGATGCGAGCGGCGGCCAAGGATGTGCACAAGATCCGTGGACAGAGCCTCAAGGAGGTCCCTGGAGTCCAGTCCTTTAGGTGGGCATCTGTTGCTAATAGGGGTGTAACGGTACACACAAAAATTTCCAGTACAGATCTTTTCGGTTCGTTATGCACGTGTACAGAACGAATACAGTGATGTTTAAACCACTGCGTGTGCAGAACTTCTCTGTATGCATCCAAGTCACTGTTTCTGCACTGATCCTAAACATTATCTTAGGTTATTGGGGAACCTAGTGAGCTGCCTTGTTCTCTAACTGCCTACATAGGCAGCTACCTTCTAAGTCAGCATATTAAACTGAAATGAAAGCCCATAATCGACTGATCTGGAGCAACTCCATGTGACGCTGAAATAGCCCTCTTCACCTGATCTTCACAGGAGTATCAGCTCAGAGTTGATTCCAATTGTCTGAAGTTGCTAATGAACATTTTTCACAGACTGTGATGATGCGTTTCCACAGTTATTAAAGGGTTAGTTCACCCAAATACGAAAAATGCTGTCATTAGTTACTCACCCTCATGTCGTTCCAAACCCGTTCCACTTTCGTTCATCTTCGAAACACAAATTAAGGTATTTGAAACCAAATCTGAGAGATTTCTGTCCCTCCATTGACAGTCCAACTACCATTTTGACTCTTCAAAAAGTTCACAAAGAGATCGTAGTTTTCAAAGACGTTGAACCATTTTTCGATTATTTATGATTTATTTCACCAACTTCATTGCAATCTATAATGGAAATGCCTTCCCTTTGAAGGATATATGCGATGCTACCTTAAAATATGCCAAAATGAGCATCTTTAAAATGCTTTCAAAGGCAGCTCACTAGGATTTGGAACGGAGCTAATGTCAAGTAATTGTTTTATATCTGACACCGTCCTGTTTCAAGCTCTGCTTATTGTCTGCTGTAACCTCTCTTAGAGAAAAGATGGCCTTCTTCACCAGAGCGAAGATAAACGTTCCTGACCTACCAGCCGACGACGTGTAGAAGATATTCTTCTCAACTGCTTTTGTTTCCATGGAGACAAAACTGACATCTGGCAGTATTATGAATAATGAAGAATGGTGTGACAGGAAAATGTATGTTGGGCAGGAAAAATGTCATTTTAAAACACTGGGTTGTAACTCTCAAAACTGAAATTGTATAGATCCGTGTTTTTTTTTTTTTAGATAGATTTATTTTTGAAATTTCACCATGTTCTGTTACTAACAAGAGTATGTCAGTATCTGTTCTAGGTATTTGAGTGGTCAGTCGAAAACAACAGTGCGTGCGTCTTTGAAACGAGTGTGAAACATGCTGCTCTGCTATTGGGCAGGACTGCTTACTGTAACTCTTGAAGATGTGAATACAGATACTTACGGTACTACTTCTGTTCATAGCACAAGGGTTCAGGACTCAAACTTTATGACAAAATGAATGGGCATACATCCTGCTATTCCAGTCTCGTCCCTTTAGAAACAAGCACATTTGTCCACATTTATGTTCGACAGTCTCAAGATTTTTGCAATTGTGTAAATGGTTACAGATGTTAGGAAGCATGAAACTAAAGCATGACGTGTTAACTAGACCGGTTAGTACACTAAATCGATTGCTAACAGCTCCGTGTTCGTTTTGTTAATTGCACATGCAAACAAAGACACGTTTAGTGCAAATGTTCGTAAAATGATGTAGAAACTGCACTTAGTTCCACAGACTCTCAGGTAGAATATCAGATAGTTCGTGCACTTTATAGAAAAAGGCATTGATGTAGAGAATAAAGCAAATAAGCACATTGTGTGAACGCAAAGATCATACTATCCCATTGAAGTGAAACCCTGTTTCCCAGCTCTTGTTACATCTTTGGAAACTTTCAAGGCGACCTTTTCGGTTTTATCAATTTCCCATACTAGTTTCTACAGTCGCCTGTTGCAATAGTATATCATTTCTACTGGTTCGGACCTCTTCTAATCTAAAAATAGCCCTCACGTCTTTCAACACGTTGGCTTTTGTATGTGACTAATAAGCTTCAAAACAAAAGCGGTAGCATCATTTCATTTATGTCAAACCCTGATATATTTTTATTGATACACCAAATATATTTTTATTGACTCACTATAAACAAAGGAGAAAAAAAGGAATTATATTTTGCATAAGATTTAGATAACCATTCAAATTTAACCCAAACCATTAAAATGACTTACGATCTACCGTAGTATTAATTTGTCGACAGTTAAGTGCATTTCCGCCCAAATTCTTATGACTGTAATGTGAAGGAAAAGAACGTAATTTATTTAATCATATATATATCCATATTTAAATATGTTTTCATTACTTAAAAGAATTATCAAAAAAATTTTTTTTTTTTTTTTGCATTACAGTACACTCGATTTGTAGAGAATTGCCTTGAAAATTCAGTCAAAATCCCAAAATAAAATAATTGTATTGCTACATACCAGTAAGGAGCCTTTAGTGGGTTGAATCTCACAAAAATGTTTCATATTTCACACCATAAAAAAGAAAAAGAAAAAGGAATTTATATTTTGCATAATATTTACCTAAAACCATTCAAATTACTTGCAGTGTGAGATTAATTTGATGACAGTTAAGTGCATTTTCCCCTAAATTCATATGACTTTTAATGTGAAGGAAAAGAATGATATATATATATATATATATATTATTGTTGTTGTTGTTATTTTTTTTCATTACAGTACATTAGATTTGGGGAGAATTGTCATGAAAATCCAAATTACAAATTTCTGTAATCTCATATTTTATTTATTTATTTTTATTTATTATTATTATTATTTCCAAAAATACGACCTGGACAATTTTCGTGAGATTCCCACGCTTATGAAGAAAACTATTGAAATCTGGAAGCGTATCTTCCCCGAGGCAAAGAAACGGGAACACATCTAGGCCACTGACAGCTGTGAAGGCACACAGTTGATAATTCCCAGCTCTCCCTGTAAACACTTAATAATGTATCGCACGCCACTGCAGAGTTTGTGTGTACCATTTACTCACACGGAGGGAGTCACTGGTGATTTGCGTTATGTAAATGAGCGCTTCCTCTATGCTAATCTATTATTGATTTTCACTAAACTCTTCATCTACAGTATCTTGATAGTATGTGACTGTGAATGTTACCGCCATGTCATAAAAATCAACTTTTCAACGATAGCTTTGCATCACGGGCCAAGATGTTAGTCCGAATGAATGTAGCACTTTAAAATGTCATGTGACCCCTTATTTGATACTGATTTACAGTATTTTTATATAATTTTCTTAATTTTAACCAGTTATGGATGGCATTACCAGCCCAATTCCATTGATTTTGCTCACATTTCAAATGTTACGTGAAATCAATCATACAGTTGTGCTCTCGACATTTTTTGTTTTGCATTTCCCTCCTGGAACGCCTCATATTTTCCATGTAGATCTTCCTGTGCTTCATTATGCCTTTGTTTCTCAAGGAAGCATCGAATGTACTGTCATTTGCTCAACCCCAGATCATCAACTAATAATGTCGTTTGAATTGTAGTAGCATTCATAAACACGTATAGGTGGCGAAATGATACCACAATGTCCGAAACTAGTGTGGAATCTGTTACGGATGATCCAGAAGCCATCCTTTATCTGCAATGCTCACGTGCATGTGGCCTAGTCTCTTGCTCCACCAAGCGGCGTACAGACAGAACTGAACTTGTATTTACTTGTAGCACTCGTTCTGAAACCGTCATTTCCTCTCCATTGTAATTTCACCTAAAATTGGTTTAGGAGATGTTCCCATATTTATTTTGACACCAGACAAACCCAACTGAAGTGCTGCCCCAAAAGCTTTTAGCCACGTACCCAATTCAAATAGAAGCATCTTATAGCTTTCACCTTAAAGCTATTGTACTCGGTTGTTTTGTCTTCCGCAGCGCGTTTTCTCGTAGATCCTGTAGTTAGACCTAGTTTATTAGAGTACAACCATTCCTTTGTCTTTGTTTCAGCTCTTTTAATGTTATTATTTTGACCCATTTAAGACAGTACACTGCCAAACGTATACATCCCAGTTCAGTTTAATACGCTGCTGCGTGATGTATATTTCTCACATTGGCATTTTTAATCGAGGTACTTTTTTATCATCATTATTTTTACCAGAGTTTTTCAGATTTGCCTGTTTTTACCAATTTATGGTTATTTGAATGTGAGGGAAACAGTATATCCCCTTTAAATGTGTACTGTTTACCTGGAAACACTACAGCTGAGCTGATTCTGAGAGTAGTCGAACAAGAGAAATTGACTTATGTTTTCACTGGTCGTACAGTATGCTTACCGTTCACAGTATGTGTTGGAGAGAGAATTGTCTTGATTGATTAGGTGCTCTTCGACTATCAAATCTGAGGTTCATAAGGACATAATATTTGGCTTTTTTATTTTTTATTTGGACGCTTGGTCCAATCATGCCTAAATCATGTAATACTTGCTTAAAATAATGAAAAGAGAGAAAAAAAAATGCTGTCAGTATGCTGGTAGTCATGAATGATTCATTTGTTTATTGTACACAGTAGGACTTTTATTCTGAAAACTCCAGTGCATTTAATTGTTTGTTTTTTTCTTGTATTAATGATGAAAAAAACCCTGATCTGATCACAGCGATGGTTGGAGAAGTACAGCTTGTATTTATTGCACTTTTGTGATTTGGGTGTGCTGTCTTTCTTTTTCTTGTGAGACTTTTGAAAGCTGTGAATTTTATCATCGACACTGTACTGTCAACCAGAATTGTAAATATATCACCAGCACAAGAGTATGTTTTGTAGTTTCACAACAAATATAAAAAGTTCCTTTCTTCTAATCTTTATAATGTTTTGTGTGTGTTTGTGTTTTTACTCTCACAAATTTCTAATATATTTATCTGTATTGAGATCGGGGCCAATCAGTTTTTTTCTCATTCCAACTATTACGTGCAGTTACTAACAGTAAAATATCAGAAAGAAGACTACATATGGGGCATTTTCAGCAAATGATTCAATTTATGCTATAAAAAGACAGTACACAAATAACACTGACTCTCAAAAATGGCATATATATATATATATATATATATATATATATATATATATATATATATATATATATATATATATATATATATAAACATAATAGTTGGTCCAACTTGCTCATAGATGAACGACAAACACTCACGCTACCTCTTGCCCATTATATCCAAGTTCAAAGTTTAATTTAAAGGGACAGGTCACCCAAAAATGAAAATTCTGTCATCATTTACTCCAAACCTGTATGAGTTTCTTTGTTCTGTTGAACACACAATAAGATATTAAAGAATGTTGCTAACCCAACAAATACCATGGAAGTCAATGGGTGCCGTCAAATGTCTGCTTGCCATCATTCTTTAAAATATCTTTTGTGTTCAAGAGAAGAAAGAAACTCATACATGGTTTGAAACAACTTGAGCGCGTGTAAATGATAGAATTTTCGTTTTTGGGTGAACTGTCGCTTTAAAACATTTAAACTATGTAAATGTAAAGAATACAATATATTACTTAAAAAAATCTAAACTTTATATCCATCGTGCGTGTGTGTATTTAGGATATACAAAATATTTAATATAAATCATTTTGTGACTGTATTTTTTCCCCACTGCCAACGATTGAAAGGCTATAGTTTTGGCGGGTATTTTCCCACAACCCCGCGGAACCGGAAGCAGCGCGCTGTGTGTTTAGAGTCGCTGCTACTGCTAGCTGCACAGCGGCTTCTACATCTACGCTGAAGAACACCTAACAACCTGCCAGGTAAATAGTCGTCTGAAACTTTGTGTTACTCCGTATGATATTTGTTTAGTAGCGTTTCATACTCTGACTGGAAAGGAAATGTTGTTTGTCAGCGTGTTTGGCGGCTGCAGACTAACAGAAGCTAGCGTTTTAAGCTAATATCAAACCCTTGCACCAAAATCATGGTTAATTTTTTTTTACTACTTTATGAACAAATAAGATGTATAACGTTAATCAAATAATTTTTTAGATATTTGCTACTAGATACTAGCCTGTGAATGGTTAGAGTTATCTAGATTAGACTTAAGATGTTAGTGAACATTTAATTAATATAACATATATGGTTATTATGTTAGTTCCTCTCCCATTAGCGTTACATTTTGAATAAATGATAACCGATTTACTAGTTGTTTGTTTGGGTCTGGAAACGTTGTGCATGTTAATATTCACTAATATATTTGATTTAATATTCACCCAACTTACTTCAGTCTTATGTCCTCTATGAAAGTCAATTAACTATACAATCCCTGATAAGATTCAAGTTGCTAGAGTAGTCATTTGATTGAGTTAACAAACACTTATTAATATTCATCAGTCTTTCATTAATATTCATGTACTTTTTTTATATATATATTTCCATGCTCATGAGAGACGAATCAGAATAAATGCCATGATAACTCAATTGCTCTTCCTGGCAGAGTTTATTTTCCTTGTGAGAGCTTCAGGATCGCTGGGATACTCGATCAGTTCCTCGGCCTTCATCATCATCATCATCATCATGCCAGCCGCACTTGCAGATACCAGTCAAATTATCTGTGAGGTATGGGCCAGCAATGTGGAGGAGGAGATGAGGAAGATCCGACAGATCATTCAAAACTACAACTACATCGCCATGGTGTGTGTGTGCGCGCCTGTGTTGTTGTTCAATCTACTAATGATGTGGGAAAATGTCCTATAATAACTTTAAAATGATAATTGAGACAATGTTACAGGTCAAATAGCACATTTTTGTTAATATACACTACTATTCAACATCTTGGGGTTGGTAAGATTTGTTTTTGAAAGAAGTCTCTTCTGCTCACCAATGTTAGATTTAAGTAATCAAAAATATAATAAGAACAGTAACATTGTGAGAGATTATTACAATTTAAAATAACTATTTAAATGTAATTTATTCCTGTGATGCAAAGCTGAATTTTCAGCATCATTACTCCAGTCTTCAGTGTCACATGATCCTTCAGAAATCATTCTAATATGCTGATTTGATGCTCAATTATTATTATTATTGGTGCTCTGTTATTAATAATAGTTCTTATTTTTAGATTTGAAAACCGTTTGTTGCTTAATATTTTGTGTGGTTAACCATAATTATTTTGTTCTTCAGGATTATTTGATGAAGAGAACACCATGTATTTGCAAAATAAATATTTTGTAACATTATAAGTGCCTTTACTGTCACGTTTGATTAATTTAATCCTTGAATCCTTGATAAAAGCATTTTCTTAAAAAAAAAAAAGTACCCCAAACTTTTGAATAGTAGTGCATCAAAGTTTCAACAAAAAGTATGAAGCAGCAAATCCGGAAATGTTTCTTGAGCAGCAAATCAGCATATTAGAATGATCTCTGAAGGATCATGTGACACTGAAGACTGGAGTAATGATGCTGAAAATAAAGCTTTGCCATCACAGGAATAAATTTCATTTCAAAAGATATTCAAATAGAAAACAGTTCTTTTAAATTGTAATATTTCACAATATTACTGTATTGATAAAAAATGCCTTGGCATAAGAGACTTCTTTCAAATATATAAATGATTCCAAATGTTTGACAGTAGTGTAAGCGCTTTAACAGGAATATGAGCTGAAGATTTGTGCTTTGGATCCTCAGGACACAGAGTTTCCTGGCGTTGTAGTTCGTCCCATTGGAGAGTTTCGCAGTACTGTTGACTATCAGTACCAGCTCCTGAGGTGCAACGTGGACCTTTTAAAAATCATCCAGCTGGGTTTGACGTTTATGAATGAAGAGGGAGACTACCCGCCTGGAACCACAACATGGCAGTTCAACTTCAAGTTCAATCTGACGTAGGTGTCCAGCATTACTTGCTTAACCCTTCTCATCTCTTATGTTGATATTTGTGTCAGAGGCCCTGTTCACACCTGGTATTAAGATGCATTTTGGTCGATCGGATCACAAGTGGATGATGCTATATACCAGAGGTGGGAGTAAGTCACTAAATGCAAGTCCAAGTCTTAACATTGCAAGTCAAAGTCAAGTCGCAACTTAGTCATCAAGTCATACCAAGTCGCACACAGGCTTTACACATTTTTTAACTCTGGGACTTTTATTACTTATTTAGACACAGAGGGCTGATGGGTTACAAAAATAAATAAATTCACTTGTGTGTAATAAATAAATCAGCATTAAGAAGCACTTTAAATGCTCTAAAATAAAAATAAATTAAATAAACACAAGTAAACAAGAATTAATACAACTTTTCCCATCTTGTAAAAAAAAAACTAAAAAGATATTGCATTCTAAATTAGTACTGTATGACAAAGTTTGTATGTTCTTACTCTAAATATGCAGGTGATTTGATCCCATAACACAAAATATTATATGTAAATTTTAAGAAAACAAATCTAATAATTTAAATGATTTAAACCCGACTATTTTTTAATACGTGGGTCGTTATAACTGACGTTCTCAACTACTTTCTATATTACTTTCTCCCGCCCGCAACATTTATGTTTTGTCCCGCTCCCGCCCGCAAAAAGACTTTTTTTCTGTAGCCTAGCTACCTCCGAATACTTTTAATTTAGCCTATGTGTCGCCACCATACACATCAGCATAAATGCTCCTGATAAATTATTTGTTATTAAAGCATTAACACACAAACCACTGTTAGACATAAAAGCAAGCAGCTCCTGCGTCCATGGTTTGGCATGACTGCGTGCCCTAATTCCTAAAAAGCTGACATCAGTTCATCGCGATCTCACACATCTCTGTTATTATCAATGAAGCTTTCATAATATATACACTTTGTTTGTTATAATTCGAGGATTTGCCAGCATACAGAATTGAGCACTGAACAAAAAGTCCGTTTTGAGCGGTGAGGGAAGTCTATCGTAAATGCTTCTGATTGGCCATTGCGTTCCTAGAAATCAAAACATAAGTCTGTGATTGGCTACATCGCTCAACACTGCAAACATGTTAGAAATAGATCTTGTAAAAATTGTTCTTATTGCTTTTCTGCAACAGATGAATAAAAATGTATTAGTTTTTATGTTTTATTCATAGTTTGCGGGAGTCCCGCGAATCGTTTTATTCTCCCTCAACCCGGACACACAGAGTGAGTGCATTACCGCCCGCGCTCCCTCTTATGATGAATAAAAAATACACAATTTTTTCACAAGTCATTTCAAGTAAATAGGCACAAGTCCGAGTCAAGTCTAAAGTCACAAGGAGCAAGTCTAAAGTCAAGTCGAGTCTTTTCAGAGATCTAGTCAAGTAAGTCTCAAGTCCAGAAAATTGCGACTCGAGTCAAGTCATATGACTCGAGTCTCCCACCTCTGCTGGTGTGAATACAGGTGTAAACGGGGTCTAAAACGCTTTGAGCTTGTCCACTTTAGACCACTTCCAGAGGGAGTTGAAAACTCATTCGACCGGATTGCTTTCGTAGTGTAAACGCTCATGTCTTCGAAAGTGTTGGAATGGCCACAAAAGACCGTCTTATCTCCGCTACTGACCTGATGTGTAAACATTACTGGCAGCGCTCTAGCCAGACAGGATTTAAACTTTGTCGGCTGAAGACCCAAGCTTGGTTTGAAGATGAAAAACTTACCAAGCGCAATGTTCTCTCACCATTCCTGATCTCTAACACACACTCAGTGTTCGGCTGGTCTTGCGGCTGTCAGAGCAGAAACGAAAGCCGCTGCTCTCCGTATGTTTTTCCGTCGTCTCCTGTCGTGTTCACATATAAATTGCGCAAGCTTATTTAATCAAAAGATCTGAAAAAACACATACATTTCCCACTTCTAAACCCTCCCCATGGAGAAATCAGGACAGAAGTGGTTGAAAGTGGACAAAAGAGACAGATTAAAACACCAGGTGTAAACGGGAATGTGTGTCTCCCTTGTCTGGTTATGATAAGAACGACCAAAACGCATCTTAATACCAGGGGTAAACAGGGTTTTACAGATTTAGCCTGAGCCTGTGATGGTAATGGTGGTGTTGTTTGGCCCTGTGTTTTGCAGAGAGGACATGTACTCCCAGGACTCCATAGATCTCCTCCAGAACTCTGGGCTGCAGTTTAAGAAGCACGAGGAGGAGGGCATCGACACACTCTACTTCGCAGAGCTCCTGATGACGTCAGGCCTGGTGCTGTGTGAAAATGTCAAGTGGCTCTCCTTTCACAGGTAATAGAAAAATCACTGCTTTTTTTGGGTCAAATGTGTCAATACTGTAGCTATCGTGCTACAGCACACATTCTGGCAGTTGCAGTTCTGGCACCGCCGTCCCAACATACTGTCCAACATTCACATCACATGTTTAGCAACACAGCTGAAGGGTGACACGCAGTTCTTTGCCATCACAAAGTTAAAGGGGTCATGAACTGCATTTCTTTTTTTTAGTTTTATAATGTTCTCTGGGGTCCACTCAGGGCTGCAACCACTAATCCATAAAATCAATTGTTATAGGTAATGAAAATAATCGTCAACGAATTTGATTATCGATTAGTCGCGTCAAACAGACGGAGCGCAATAATTCTGACTAAAATAAATTTTTTTGTTAGAAATTAACTAGTGTAGGTTTAATATTCGACATGTAACACAAGTAATCATATTTATGAGAGCAGTAACAGTAACGGCACTTATTTTGGAATAGCACATTAATGTACTATAACTATGTTCAGACGAGTGAATGTGTGCGTTCTTCATGCCTCATACAAGTTAACATTTTGTGTTTGATTATTGTCATTTTTAATTTAGTCTCTTTAATATCTGCTTGAAAATAGTAAGCAATGTTGTTTTTAGGTTTGGAATGCAATGTTTATATTTTAACCCTTTCAGCTTATAATGTACAGCGTAGCTTTTATAGGGACATTTTGGCCACTGGCATTTTTCATTTTATATTACACATTGTTTGGAGGACCGCATTGGGCAGGATGCGGAATAATATTGTTTAAAATAATTTTAATAATAATTTTAATGTATAATAATATTTTTATTTTTTCCCTCGATTAATCGGTAAAATAATCGACAGATTAGCTGATTATCAAAAATAATCGTTAGTTGCAGCCTTAGTCCACTTATGTTATCAAGATTTTTACATCAAAAACATCCTAAGTTAGAATAAGCTATTTTCTATCCTGAATTCAAGACTTGGAAGTAAACCCCCACTGTTATGATTGGGTAACAGTTTTGCATATTAGAAATAATTTTCAAGGTCCCTGCCATTTATGCTTGTTTGATGTTGAAAAAGATCTTGTTACATAGTTGAAACATTTGCCAACAGTGTGAAACATATATGCATATTACATAAGCTTTATAAGTCTTGGTTGTGGCAAATACAATTTAAGGACTGAGTTACCACAGTTATAATTGAAAAATAATGACTTACGGTGTTTTGTGTAAATGGAATTATGAATGAATGTGCCATTGTTTGTAATACTGAAGGCTATTCATAGTTCATCCTATTCGATAAAGTGAAAAACATACATTGTCATTTGCAGTGTAGTGTTTTAAATAAAATGAAACTTGTTTTACTGATGACAAAACAGATGTCGCTCACTGAAGCTTTATTCAGGATTTCAGTTAATGGCTTGGAGAACGCTTCTTTTGTTATGGTTTTGATCTAAATGCTTTCTCCCGATAATCCTACTCATTTACCCCATAAATGCTGAAGCAAAGGAAAGAACTATGCGCAGTTTGACCTCGGCGCTACAGTATAAATGCACTGTATCAGACAATAGCAGTGATGGGAATAACGGCGTTATAAATAACGCCGTTACTAACGGCATTACTTTTTCCAGTAACGAGTAATCTAATTGATTACTCTTCTCATTTAAATAACGCCGTTACCGTTACTGGCAAAAAATGTGGCGCGTTACTATAACTGATGAAGCTGGGTTTTTTTTTCATCAGACCAACTAGATCTCTGAGCGAGAGGCAAATACTTTTTTTACTGTTCTTCCTTGGTTAGTGGGCAGAGCACGAGACAAGCGCATAAATGCTGACGATTGGCTGAGGTAGAGTAAAATGTCATCGTAAGCCAATCAGAGGTAGAGTTGGGCGGGTGTTCGAAAGCACGCATAGTAGTGATGGGCATTCGGCTCTTTTGACTCAGCTCACTGAAAAGAGCCGGCTCTTTTGGCTCACAAACGGCTCTTTAAATGACTTTGACTATAATATTTAAATTTTTATTACATAATTATTGAATTTCTATAGGCTAAATTTGTAAAAATAGAGTCGGCTCTTCAGATATGCGAGCCAGCTCCCGACGTTCACCTAAAAGACCCGGGTCTTAGAGTCGGCTCATTCGCGAATCACGAACGACCCATCAAAAGCTCATTCGCGAACGAGTTGATCCATCATCACTAACGCTCATTCGCGAACGACCCATCATCACTAACGGCTAACGCTCATGAATTGTGAATCATAACGCATAGTCGGACAGGACAGGACACACAAGGAACAACACAAGCCAGTCAGTCAACGAGAGACAGGTATGGCGACGATCTTAACAAGCTTAATTTAATTTTGCCCAGTTGTGGCCTGTTGAGGGGCAATAAATATCAAAAGTTCCAAAACATCTATTGTGTTATTTGCATTGATCCACTATATAAACATAATATCTGCATACATGGCATTTGATTGGAGGCTAGTCTCACTTTGTCCCACAGCAACATTTTTTTTTTTTTTTAGATGTGTGTACAATGTTTCATGTTTCTGTTAATAATGTATTGTATTAAGTGTCCATTTCATTATAATATTCAGATTTATCATAAATAATTGAACATGCACATGTATTTTAAGTTCCGTTAAAGAGGGGTAGATGTGGGGTCACATTTGAGCATTTAAAATTTAATTTTACTTGAAAGTAACGCAATTGTTACTTTCTCAAGTAACTAGTTACTTTTAAAATTTGTAACTGGGTAACTAATTTAGTTACTTTCTGGAAGAAGTAACTAGTAACTGTAACTAATTACTTTTTAAAAGTAACTTGCCCAACACTGGACAATAGTGACACATGGTAAAAACGGTTACTTACAGACTATTTTTTTAAATTACATTTATCTCACTTAAATGTTTGCTCGCTTAAATGTTTGTTTAAGAAAAAGTAGCACAAATAGATACAATAGAATAAAGATACAAATAAAATAAAGACGTTTTTTGGGTAGGTCTAACTAGTATGAATAAAAAGTAAACAAATGTAAAATGACACTGGATAGTCTTTTAGTCCTGTATAAATTAAATACATGGCTTTAATTGTAAGGAATCTGAATTAATTGCCTATCTCTTGTTGTTTTATCAACATTGACATGTACACATATTAGGCTTCTGTCACTTTAAGAGCTAGTGCTACTTATCCATGTGCTGTTTTCATTATACTGTCACATTCGTTTCTCAACTGGTTGTTTATTTAAGACATAACCAACTGTGTTTGTGGATACTCACTAGTGCTGCACCATTAATCATATCGCAATCGTAATCGCGATGTCAAGCCTATGCGATTATACTGCGATTTTATATGAAATAAACAAATTAGGGCTGGTGAAATGGTTTAAAATTAAAAATTGAGTCGTTTTCTGTGCAATAAAAGCTGCTTTTGTACTACCGGGGAAGTTTGGGGTTCTAAAACTTACAGGATATTTGTTTTAGTACAATGACCTCTTATGTGTCAAGAGTTAAACTGTTTATTCGCACGTTGTTCGGACAAAATAAGGCAACAGCCGAAGCTCGTGCACACTAAAAGCCTGTGACAGAGCGCGAGTTGTGTTGTCTTATTGCGCTTAAACTGTCAAGTACACACAAGGTTTTCATAAACAGTTGTTTATATCTTCAGTGAATGCAAACAGTTCGGATGCGTATCAGTTTATTAGATCTGTGCCTTCAAGTGACCAACATCAATGACAGATGGCAGCAGGTTAGATTACAATCAAAGAACGAAAGATGAATGAATTAATAATTCTTAATATTTATGTTAAAAAAAACCTAAGGTAAATTATTTAAAAATGTTTTTAAAAATATTAAGATGAGCACACATGTAGTAGGAGTCACTTTTTACACACAATGATTTTAGAGTCAAGTCTGTTCCATTTTGCAGCTTATTCTGGCTAAAACAGTCCACCGACAGGCCGAGATCAGGAGACTTGATACGAACAATGATACGTTCGAACAATAATAATACGAACCAGGTCAATATTGCATTACTGAGAGAAAAAAAACACAAGTCTCATACAAGTACAAGTGATACTTGTACAACTTATTTTAAGACTGTTATTTATATCTTTTGCTGTAGTGTCAGTAGGAAATATCCGTTTACATTTCCAAACATTTATTTTGCCATTGTAATAATCCAGTGAGATTTTTATATGCATAAGGAGTCTGACAACAGCCAGTGTGCTCCACACGGAGATCTGATCTCACCATAATCGAGTCCATCTAAAAAACTACTAAATCCAGAAGAACTGCGGCAACGTCTCCAAGACTCTTGAAGAAATCTTCCTGAAAAGCTATGTGCAAGTGTACCTGGACAACAGCTGTTTAAACGCAAAGCGTGGTCACACCAAATATGGATTTGATTCAGTTTATAGAAGCTAATTGATAAATAAAATCTATTTATGACATTATTTTGGAAAGCATCCTCACTTTACAGCATTTTTACACAAGTGCCTAAAACGTCTCGCAGTACTGTAGCTTTGCAGGAAGGTTTCAAGCATCTTGGAGACATTGCTGCAGTTCTTCTGCATTTAGTCCATCTCAGTTTTTTTTCTGTTTCTTCATGTAATCACAGACAGGCTTGATGATGGAGAGATCAGATCATACCGGCTCTTGTCACTCACTGGATTATTACCATTAATAGCAAAATGTATGTTTTGGACATGTAAGCTGACACACTACAGCAAAATATATAAATAGCTGGCTTAAAACCTATTTTTTGGGGGTGAAAATACTAAAGTGCCAAAGACTTTTGCACAGTAGTGTATATATACAGACTTTTGCATGCACACAAGAAACTTTATCGGGCCCTTGAGAAACTATTCACATGCACACAGGAATTTTTTTGCATGCTTACAATTTACAATTACGCATTACAATTTCTAGTTTTATATACTATAAGCTAATCTATGAAGAAAAAGAGCAAATAACCACATGAATTAATAGAAATCTAGGCCGATTTGCTCAAAAATGGGCTTTCCTTGGGGTAGTACCTCTAATATCAAGGCCTAATGTCCAATTTAATGCATCCTTTGTGGCGGCAGAGAAACCAAGACACGAAATGGGCCTATGGCACAATATCGCTGTGTGCATTGTCCTATTTGCCAAGTTCAAGGGTCTATAAAAACACTGGTGCTAAAAAAAAAAAGTGGTCAAAATTTGGCTTTCATTAGGGCAGTACATTACCCTATTTTTAAGGCCTTAGGTCTGCTTTAACACATACTCTATGGCAGCCAAGAAACCACACAGTGAAACGGGCTGATGGTGCAATAGGTGGCTCAGTGTGCATTGTCTATGCTAAGTTGAATGGTTTCTCATGCGCACACGAAAGTCTGCATATTTTTTTATTTTTGCAAAGATCCTTTTAGTGGCTCTGTAAGAATGCTAAGAATATCATGAGAAGAAACCCAAAACGGTTAAAACATGCATTTTTGCATAATGAAAAAGTGCACCTTGAATAAATTCAGTCGTTTTTGACAATCGCTAAACGGCTACCATGAAAACACACTTGTTGTATGATAAATTCATTTTCAATAAATTCTTAATTTTCTATTATAGAAAACTAAATAGGGGTCAATAGTCTGGAAATGCTAATATTTTTCCATACTCTGCTTTCTTTTTTTCATACTTTTCCAAACTGCGTAGGAACCCTGGAACTTCTTTAATTTGCTCTTCTTCAGCAAATCTGGCCCCTAGTGAGATCTTTTGTGTTTTCTGTGTCCTCACTAGTGGATATGATTTTGGATACCTGGTGAAGCTCCTCACAGACACCCGGCTGCCAGAAGAGGAACACGAGTTCTTTCAGATCTTAAACCTTTTCTTCCCAGCCATTTACGACGTCAAATATCTTATGAAGAGCTGCAAAAACCTCAAGGTATGTCAAGCGCTGTAACCCGTGTTGTATAGATGTTGTGATTGGTCATTGTTGAAGATGATCAGTGGGTTTTGCTCGGTTTAGGGTGGACTTCAGGAGGTTGCGGACCAGCTGGAGCTGAAAAGGATCGGCAGGCAGCATCAGGCCGGCTCGGACTCGCTGCTCACTGGAATGGCTTTCTTCCGCATGAAAGAGGTTGGTGTTTTCTAACCGAGACCATAGCTGATGCTGGCATCTTAGCTGATCGTTAATTCTGCCGTCATGTTTTATTTCTTCAGCTGTTTTTTGAAGACAACATCGACGATGCCAAGTACTGTGGGCGACTCTATGGCCTGGGATCCGGTTCCTCTCAAAGTCAGAACGGAATCTCCAATTCCTCGCAGGAGGAAGCCAACAACAAGCACTGACTAAAACCAAGTGGATGACGCACTTGTTTTAATCCCACTCAGCATTGTTCTTTACAAAGATGATTTCAAATGATTCATGCATTCTAAAGGGACATTGGGAAATGCAAACAAGCTAATCTCCGATTCTGTTCTGCTCTGTAGTCCATCACACCACGACGTTCCAGGACTCTAGATGTGCTCCTGTTCTTCCCATCGGCTGCTTTTTTGAACATTTTATCTTTTGTTTTACAGTATTAAAAACACCATCGTTTTAAGCATGGGACCAGCGCTTGTGTATCTTACTGCTTACGAGACTCCAGGCATTTTAATATGCTCTGTCCTTTTTAGAAATGTTTTGATATTTTCTGGAAAGGCTTGAGATTGAATCATCACTGCGATAAGAGGAAATGCCTTCTCAACGTTGGAACACGTGACTTTGGGGTTGTGTTTTTAAAACAAGCCAGCATGTATGTATATTAAGATCGAAACTTTCAAAAAGAGATTGCTATCTTTAAGCATTTTTCCTGTAATAAATACATTTTAGATTGAGGTTTGGGGCATCTTTGAGAACACAAGTCCACTGGTCCTATGTAACCGTTTTAAATTTGTTCGTCACACGATCTCGACTGTTTGTGGTACGTGTTTTTATTGTATCTGTTGTTCGAGGCAGTTGTGTATTAAAATGTTTTCTATCGCCACAGTGATGTCATGTCCAATTACAAGGCATGTGTACTGAAAACTGACCCTTTGTTTGCAGCCTTTAAAGGAATGGTTCACCCCAAAAATGGAATTTCTTGATTTAAGAGTTCTTTCTTCCGATGAAGAGAAATTGAGGTGTTAGAGGAAAACATTGGAGGATATTTTCTCCATGTAATGCAGGTGAATGGTGCCCAACGTAGACCGTTTTTGACAGTCCAAAATCCATATTTCGGCAGCTTCAAAGGGCTCCACAATACCCCAGCTGACAAATAAGGGTGTTCTCTAGCAAAACGAAAATATGTATTCTACAAACGCTCACCATGGTCCAGCTCTGCAAAGCAAGTTCACGATAGCACTGCATTATTCATATACTTTATTATAATTTAAAAAAAAACTAGTTAAAAAGTATAAAACTAATTTATTTATTTTTTGAAAATGACTGATGGCCTTAAATGACTGTTAAAGGCCTTTATTTGTCAGGTGGAGCCCTTTGAAGCTATAAATATTAAATTGTGGACCGTCAAAAATGGTCTATGTTCGGCACCCTTGCATTACATGAAAACATAACAGGATATTTCTCCCTCCAAAAACCTTGATTTGTCTTCGGCTGAGAAAAGAAAGTCATATGCATGGTCTTGGGGTGAGTAAATAACCAGATCATTTTTGGGTGAAACATTCCTTTAAAGTTGGAAGGCTTAGTTTTGGTGGGCGTTTTCCCACAATCCCACAGGACCGTAAGCAAGTCGCTAGTTCGTTAGTAGGATTGGGAATAGAAAATCAATTCCAAATCTTGATATTCTTTAAGCGCCAAAGAGAACTTCTGCATGGAAGCTGTTTTATATCGCCTCTTATACAGGTCCTTCTAAAAAATTAGCATATTGTGATAAAGTTCATTTTCCATAATGTAATGATAAAAATTAAACTCATATATTTTAGATTCATTGCACACCAACTGAAATATTTCAGGTCTTTTATTGTTTTAATACTGATGATTTTGGCATACAGCTCATGAAAACCCAAAAGTCTAAAAAAATTAGCATATTTCATCCGACCAATAAAAGAAGTGTTTTTAATACAAAAAATAAAGTCAACCTTCAAATAATTATGTTCAGTTATGCACTCAATAGTCAATACTTGGTCGGGAATCCTTTTGCAGAAATGACTGCTTCAATGCGGCGTGGCATGGAGGCAATCAGCCTGTGGCACTGCTGAGGTGTTATGGAGGCCCAGGATGCTTCGATAGCGGCCTTAAGCTCATCTAGAGTGTTGGGTCTTGCGTCTCTCAACTTTCTCTTCACAATATCCCACAGATTCTCTATGGGGTTCAGGTCAGGAGAGTTGGCAGGCCAGTTGAGCACAGTAATACCATGGTCAGTAAACCATTTACCAGTGGTTTTGGCACTGTGAGCAGGTGCCAGGTCGTGCTGAAAAATGAAATCTTCATCTCCATAAAGCTTTTCAGCAGATGGAAGCATGAAGTGCTCCAAAATCTCCTGATAGCTAGCTGCATTGACCCTGCCCTTGATAAAACACAGTGGACCAACACCAGCAGCTGACATGGCACCCCAGACCATCACTGACTGTGGGTACTTGACACTGGACTTCAGGCATTTTGGCATTTCCTTCTCCCCAGTCTTCCCCCAGACTCTGGCACCTTGATTTCCGAATGACATGCAAAACTGAGCAACAGTCCAGTGCTGCTTCTCTGTAGCCCAGGTCAGGCGCTTCTGCCGCTGTGTTCAAAAGTGGCTTGACCTGGGGAATGCGGCACCTGTAGCCCATTTCCTGCACACGCCTGTGCACGGTGGCTCTGGATGTTTCTACTCCAGACTCAGTCCACTGCTTCCGCAGGTCCCCCAAGGTCTGGAATCGGTCCTTCTCCACAATCTTCCTCAGGGTCCGGTCACCTCTTCTCGTTGTGCAGCGTTTTTTGCCACACTTTTTCCTTCCCACAGACTTCCCACTGAGGTGCCTTGATACAGCACTCTGGGAACAGCCTATTTGTTCAGAAATTTCTTTCTGTCTTACCCTCTTGCTTGAGGGTGTCAATGATGGCCTTCTGGACAGCAGTCAGGTCGGCAGTCTTACCCATGATTGCGGTTTTGAGTAATGAAACAGGCTGGGAGTTTTTAAAAGCCTCAGGAATCTTTTGCAGGTGTTTAGAGTTAATTAGTTGATTCAGATGATTAGGTTAATAGCTCGTTTAGAGACCCTTTTCATGATATGCTATTTTTTTGAGACAGGAATTTTGGGTTTTCATGAGCTGTATGCCAAAATCATCAGTATTAAAACAATAAAAGACCTGAAATATTTCAAATATACACAATTATGTCAAAATATCCTCGTAAACAGTTTTGTCTTAAGTGAACGTAAACATTTAAGAAAAACAGTAGTACTGGATCCGTACATTGACACCTAGCTACACCTGCTGTGTCTTGCATTCAGATCTGCCTCCAGCCAATCAACAACTGAAGGATAAAACCATGTCCCACACTACTATTTTTTTCCTTTTTCAATGTTTCTTTCGAATGTATGTCACAATACGGAGAAAAAAAACGATTGTCGCTACTTGTTTCGTTTTTACTTTTTACATTTTTACTTTTTAAACTTGACTTCATATTGATTAAAATATATATATATTTTATATATTAATGTATCAAGTGTCAAAAGAATTTTAAAATGAAAAACTACACCAAAAAAACCCCAATTTGTTTATCTGCATGTCATGTGACAACTGACATCAAAGATCTGTGAACATGCAAATGTGTTAAATTATTGAAATATTAATTTAAAATATTAGAGGGTGCTTCAAATAAACATTTTAAGTCAACGGGGTTCGGCTGACAAAGTTTGGTCAAATAGAATCTATTGCTTCAATAAAAAAAAGTAAACTGTGGGAGAATTTGTTTTATTACAGACTAAGTCAAGTGAATTTTACATATCAAACAACAGTAATTGCATATCAAAAACACTAAGTGCTATTTGGACAGTGTCAGTCTCTGCCAGGCTTTACAGAGCGATTCTGTAGTGCCGTATTTGCGCAACAAAGTTGTGGCTTCGGCACAGACGTGCTGTGGAAACAGAGTCAACTGTTTTTCCATGTGCAGAAAAACGATGCAACATTCCATGACATCCGGAAATGGGTATTTCTAAAATAAGAGAGAAAAAATAAAAAAATTCTATCATGAAATGAAATCAATTTGGTCAGAATACATGGCTACTCTTGAATGGCTGTCAATAGAGAAAAGCTCCCATAATTGAAGCGAAGCAGCCAAACACTGAACCAGCTGTCTGAACAATAAGAAATTAGCCTCCATCATCATATTTGAGACACAAATTTCCAAGGCCTCCAAATTGTCAAAATGTTTTAAACATTGCTGAAAAACCCCGCTGTACGCAATTTACTACATACCTTCTATCATCTGATTGATAGTTTATAATTCAAGTAGAAGGTCTTTTAGTATTTTGTTGTGAAATCCTTACCGATTTTGATCAAATAAAAGTAAGAATATTTTTTTATATTGTTAGTAATATTTCAAAATGAACAGTTACACTGCAGCAACTTAGGTTTACTTTATTATTCATCATATGCGAGTATCATATATGATACATCAGGCTTTTGAGGAATGTTTATTTGTGCATCTAACATCTAACATTTCAAGCTATCAGAATTTAACCTTACTTACTTTTTGGTAATATACAGACATTTGAAGTGGATCAAAAAGAGTTAATCAAAGTTGTCCTTAGACAAGACCAGGTATTAATCAAAATTCATGTATAACTTTGATGAAAGGTTTTGACCCACTTTAAACGTTGACTACTGTATATCAGCAACTGCTCCAAATTGCATATTTGTGCTCAGTTTAATAAATTTGAGGTGTTGTTTTCCTACTCGTATGATCTCAGTTTTCTCCTATATCATACTTAATGAGCCATAAAAGCCTGATGTATCAAATATGATACTCGGCAAAAAACACATATGCAAACTTTTTCTGACTATCATTTTATACGTCAGACATTACGGGGTTCAGCCAAAAATGAAAATTCTGTCATCATTTACTCACCCTCAAGTCGTTCCAAACCTGTATGATTTTCTTTTTTCTGTTGAACACAAAAGAATGTCAGTAACCAAACAGTTGATGCTCCCCATTGACTCCCATAGCATTTTTTTTTTTCCAAACAATGGGAGTCAATGGGGAGCATCAACTGTCTGGTTACCTATATTCTTCAAAATATCTTCTTTTGTGTTCAGCAGAAGAAAGAAAATCAAGTCGTTCCAAATCCTATATGAGTTTGAGTAAATGATGACAGAACTTTCATTTTTGGGTGAACTGTCCCTTTCAGAAAACTGAGTGTCTTACTCTGAGCAGCTCAGGAATGGCAGTGAGCACTTTATGGTGTTCAGCGACCTGGGCAGTCAGTGTAGAGAGTGATTCACTGCTAGAGAGAGACAAAAAGAGCTGTTAGACATTTCTTTGAAGCACCTGAATCAAAGCGCATAAGATACAGCATCAGAAATACCTGCTTCCACTAGCAGATCCTCCACGTTCCTCTGAGGTTTCAGATTGAGAAGTACTAGGAGCTTCCGGGCTCACGTGAGTCTCTTTACACTGGCTGTGCTGCTGAATCAGGCTCGTCACTCTCTTCTGAATCTCTGCTATGGCTCTCTGGGTGGCCTGAAGATTGGCGTGAGGTTCAGAGAGAAGAACGTTCCAGAAGCCGTCAGAGAAAGTGCCTTCAGATTGAGCTTCTCTGTTACAGTCTGCTTCATCTTCGTTGTGGTTGTTCTCTGTTAAACGGTGACCGTTGCTGATGGTGTTATTGGTCAAAGCTGAAGTTTCATCGCTGTAGTTCCACCATTTCTTATACACGAGCTGATAACAGACAAAAGCCTCCACGCTTTGAGAAATCATCAAGCTTCTCTCGTCACTTGGGTCTAGTTTCTGTTTGTAAAGTGCCACCGACTCCAAACCTGCGACAAAAACGACAATGAAAGATT